CTATCTATCTATCTATCTATCTATCTATCTGTCTATCTATCTATCTATCTATCTATCTATCTATCTATCTATCTATCTATCTATCTATCTATCTATCGAGTTTCGGTGGATCTTTGAACATATTTTTCCTCCTCTTCTAATATATTTTAAAATGAATTATTACAAAATAAAAGTTCATAATTTATAACAGCAAAACTCAAATGAGAAAAAAACTGAAATAAATGAAATATTTTTGCAAATTAGATGTAATGGCTTGCGTAAGTTAAAATTAGAATTGTTTCATTGCATGCAATGGGGATTTACTTTAATTTTCTGTTCAACGTTGACTCTCTGGGATTCGAAGCAACAAAAATAAATAGAATAGATGATATTCAACTATAAGTGCGTATGAGTGTGTGAACTATTTATTTCTGTTCTAAAGACCACCCAACAGTTCGGGGTGTGGGCATAATACAAGTTACACTTGTTTAAACAGAGCCACAGACACAATTAAAAAACACACTGTATCTTTGATTACAAATTATAAGTGATTACCAGTGACTTATAATATAATCAATTAACTTTTCTCAGCTGTACAAAGAATATAATAGACATATAAATCCATAAATTTGAGCCAAAAAGGTAGTTAAACAATTGGTTAAACCACCGGGAAACATTCGACTTCCAGCAAAACTGCTGGGTTAATTTAATGAAACCAAAAAAAAAGATGACAACTAAACACACTCACAGTTCAGCTGCAAATGCGTACACAGGGACGTGTATACATGTTTGTAAATGTGTAAAAGTTTTAAGAATGATTATTGTATTAAAAAACACTACCGCACTATTTAAAGCAAGCTAGCTAAAGGGGACGATGACAACAGGAACAACAAATTTTTTTTTTTAGTAATTGTCACTAAAAAAGAACATTATTATAATTTTCTATAGGCTGTAAAACAACAACAACAATAGCATGCATAAACAAATGAGCAAAAAGAACACACAGCAAATGTCTAAAACAGACAAGACAGATAAAATAAAAACAAAAAAAACATATGTTATACACTAAGCAGAGTGTGCATAATAATAGCAGGAAATCAGTTCTATCTTATGAGAACTGTTTACAAAAAATCGAAAGTGTTTTGAATAATATTCATATTTTATATTTATACCTAATCGATAATGATTATACTTTCAAAACATTTAGTAGCATCACTTCAATGAATTGTTTGCTGCACTGTTGCCGTGTTAATCTACCTTATCAAAAGTGATTTGCAGTTTGTTTATTAAAAAGATAACAATTTGTATATTTAGAATTGTATACTTAGGGTGGGGTTTCCTAACACCTAACGTACAAATTTGTTTAGCTTCTGGACTTTAGCATGGTTGTTTTTTGTACAGATAATGACGTATAATGACCTTAGATTATAATCATTATATATATTTAAAATTTCAAACAAATTATTTAATAAAAAGCTTGAATTTAAAATAAATAATCTATATTTATACTGTTTGCCTTAATGATAAGGAAAATAAATGAGTTTGTTATTCCTTAAAAAAATCCATGAATTTAATGATATGCCGAAAATGATCAACTTGTTACACATGATTTAACTGCAGGAATAAACAAGTTGATGATGATTGACTTTATGTTACAAATGTATGCCTTATAATGAAAGTACCGATCGTAATGATTTCTGAAAGTCATTTTTATTGAATTGGTATATTATTTTCCATTTTATCTGATTTTTGTAAGTGTATATCATACCGAAGATATGTATAATTAATTACTGGCCGTTCATTACAAGGATCTTGCAATATGATTACTATTTAAAGGTTATTTGTGATGACTCTTATCTCGATATCTATAAAGATTTGTTTTTCGGAAAAGTCGATGGACCAAAAATTTGATTTTTCGAATGGAATTGTTAGTGAATTTGTAGTTAAAAATCTCATTTATAATAAAAAGTAATTTTTTTTGGTGAAAAATCAAATTTTTAGTGAAAATTTTAATTTTTGTTGAAAAATCGAATTTTCGGTGAAAAATCAAATTTTTAGTGAAAAATCGAATTTTTAATGAAAAATCGAATTTTTAGTGAAAATCGTATTTTTAGTGAAAAATCGAATTTTTAGTAAAAAATCGTATTTTTAGTGAAAAATCGAATTTTTAGCAAAAAATCGAATTTTTAGTGAAAAATCGTATTTTTAGTGAAAACTAGAATTTTTAGCAAAAAATCGAATTTTTAGTGAAAAATTTAAAATTTAGTGAAAAATTTTAAATTTTGTGAAAAATTTAAAATTTAGTAATATTTATCAATTTGTGGTGAAAATATGATTTAAAAAAAAAATTAAATTTTTAGTGAAAAACTTTTTTTTAAGGAAATTTCTTTGTTTAAAGTTCACAATTTGTAAAAAATCTTAAAAAGTTAGAGCGAAATACTGTATTTTGAAGAAAAGTTAAGGTTAAAATTAATAAAAAAAATATTTTTTAAACTTTTAAAGCCCTTTTTTCAGATCAATCGCTGCCAAATCATCGTTTTTTATATTAATGAAAATTCTTTTTAATCATTAAATGTTAATTTCTTCTAAAGCAAACAGACTTATTACCAATTTCACGATTAGACCTCCTGAGTACGACAGAAAATTATCAATTAATCGACTTATTCAAAAACCTGTTATCAAATCGCTGTCAAATCCATGATTTAAACAAAAAAAACTATACGATCTCTAAAAAATACGATTAAACAATACCCCAAACTGCTATTATTTTGCACACTAGTGTAAAAATGTAAATAAATAAAGTAAAAACAAGTGTAAATACATAAATATGTATAAAATTAAAAGAATGGTAAAAAAAAATTGAGAAGGAAAATGAGGAAAAATACAAATAAAGAATGAACATGCCATGTTTTCTGCTTGTTTTTACTTTTTTTGGAATGATACTTTGGAAACTTTTTTCTTTTTTGAAACAAAATGAAAGTCTCGTTTTTTTTTAAAGATATTTTGGCAAAACAACTAAGAGACAGCAGACAGACAAAACATGCACTTAGATAAAAGCAAAATAAACAAAGCTTAAAATCGATATAAACAAAAAACAAACAATAAAATCTATAAAATAATAAATTATAAAAAAATATATACGTATGAATGTATGAAAATTTGCAACTTTACCATTTAAGTCAGCAGTTGAATGGACGTGTTAAGAAATAAAATAAACTGCAATAGCAGCAACAACCTCGTTAATATTCTTCGATGTCTGATATGGGCTGGTCCGTTGGTTGGGTTGTTGGTTGACACTCACTCAGCCAGCCAGACAATCAGTCATATATTCGTTAAAGGAAACTACACACAAACAATTTCCACAAATGTATGGACAGACAAACGGACTGACAATCAATTACTTAACAATTTTGCAAATACTTAATAATTGTGTAATGAACAATATTTGCAATTAATTATTTCACATTTACCAGTTGGCAAACTTTTTTTTAAGGAAATTCTTTTTTTTTATAAAAGTCTTCGTTTGTTAAATATTTTGTTATATTTTAATAACAATTCTTTTTTAACAGATACCGGCTGCCAATAATGTTCCTAGTTTGTTCCCTTTTTCTGTTTTCTTTAGTCTGTCTATTATGTATTTGTTGCTTTTGTTGTAGCTTGTAATTGTGCAGGCATGCTTTTCTTCGCTTATTTGCTGCCGCTTTGTTTTGTTTGTTTGTCTGTTTGTGAGTGATGATGATGAAGAGTTTTTATATTTGTTGTTGTTTTTGTCGGTAACCTCCTCTTCCCTTGTGTCACAGAAACTTTCAGCCGCTTGTCTCTTTGGCGTTGGAAGTTCAAAAATAACTGTACAGCAGATTTATTAAAATAGAACATGTAGTGAAGAAAAAAAAAACACAAGAAATGAAAATAAAATCAAAATAAATTACAAAATATATAAGAAAATATGACGACAGCAAAAAAAACTAAACAAATAAAAAAGTGAAATAATACAAAAACACTAAACTTCCACAGAGTACAATAACAACACTACATACCTTTAGATAGCACAAGACGGGAAGAATGTAGTGTAAATAAACGGTGGTGTTGCAGTTGTTGGATGGATGGATGGTTAGTTGGATTGTTTGCTTGAATTATTACACGATTTGGCAAACAATGCAATAACAACAACAACGGTAATAGTAAGAAAACTTACAGCAACAATAATAACACACGTAAGAACAACAACAGTAAATAAAACAGATATTAAAGTTTTTTTCTATAATGATTGCTTCTTCCAAGATTTTATTTTTTATTGGTTTCTTTACAGCCAAAGAAGCTCAAAAAACTCGCTACAAAAATAAAACATTACAATAAGAAACAAAATTAGAAAGAATGAAAAACAAGATGTTGATATGTATGACGTTAGATTTACGGTTTAGTGATTCTGTTTTTTTATTATTTTTTTCAATTTATTGTTGTGTAGCTGTTTATTTAAAACAATTTTTATTTGTGAAATTCTTTCCATAAACAATTCTTTTTAATAACTAACGCCTCAATTATAATTCATAAACAAATGCCTTAATTAGTTCAATACACCTTAATTTCCATAAACTAAAAGCAAAATTTCTGTTCAATCTCATTTAACATTTTTTCAAGAGGCGTTGTTGATCGGTTTTATTTTTTTTAATTACATTTGTGTGTTGGTGTATTTTTGAGTCTCAAGGCTTTTTTTTTGTTTTCGTTTGGGAAAAAATCTATGCACTTTTTGTATTCACTTCAAATTTTACATATATATTATTTTGTTTATTTAATTTTGCTGTAATTGTTTAAACTTTACACACACATTATATGCCAATTACCTAATTTTTATAATCGTTTCAGTACAATAATTAATAAAAAATATATATAAAGATTATAAAAATAATTATATTACAATTTCTCTTCACTTCCAATTGCAACGTTGTATAAAAAACTTCACCCGAAGAATGAAGAAGTAAAAAATCTCTGACAATAAAAGACCGCCGCCGCCGTGAATTTTGTTTCGGCTTATAATAATATAAGCCGGCTGGCAGCCGATTTTGAGCCGCCGCCGATAAATTTTATGTCAGCCAGCGCTGCCGCCGATTAAAATGCTCGGCATATATCTCTGATTTAAAAAGCAGCAGTTGAAATTTTGCCGAAATCATATATTTTAAAAGTGCGTCCTGATATATTATTGTTTTAATTTCTTGTTATGTTTGTGTTAATCGTTTTTAATTTGCGGTAAGAATATAAATGTATAATCAGTACAATGATAAAATTTGCTGCAAGTATTTAATATTGCAACATTTGTGAAAATAATCACTTAAAACTTCAATTCCCCGTATTTATATAATTATTATCAAGGTATTATAATGAATATATCTTGGATTATAATAAATGTTCCGCAAAACTTTCAGTTCCAGTTTTTAATTTCATTCGTAATTCAGCTCTGGGCGGAGGAAGATCGTCGTGCGTCGTTGCCATTATCCTTTTTGCTCTGCCTTCGAGCGTTTTATGTTTCAAACCGCATTGGTCAAATGTATGACATCAAATAACTGTACCGAGTTACAGTTTTTTGAGGTGCATGTTGACCATATGCAATCGTGTTAACTTAACCAAAGTTTTAATTTTGATTATGGTAGAACCAAGAAAAACTCAATTTGATATTCGGTCCAGTCGTACTGAAATAATTGGTGTTGGCGTTATAATCTTTCGATTCGGCTAAAAAGTATTAGCTGCAGAAGCAGCCAAGCAAACTTAAAATACAAACAAAAAGTTTTTATTTAACAATATTCTACATATATTCTCCCGTATGATGCATAAAGTTATAAAAAAATTTCTTAAGCTTTTACGTTTGCAAAACCCTACGGGAGCTGGGGGCTTTTGTTAAGAACTCTGTTAACTTTTGCGGAAGTAGTAGAAAAATAAGAATTAAAGGACTTATATTCAATACCAGCATGCAAGCACAACCCTTTGTGTTTTCAAATTCGTATCATATATGACACCAGCATGCTTACAAAATATTCATTTTTGAAGAAATTTTGTGCCCGAAAGGTCGTTTCAATAAAATATTTTCAAACATAGACTAAAAATTATTTTACAGCTCAAATTCTTATATGATCCAATTTCCCCATGCATAGCAGAAGCATGCTGGCACAAGTACAAAAATGTCAAATTAATCATGTTCAATTGGTTTACACCATCCTCGATTGTGCCAGGATGTTGGTGTTGTGTATGACCCCTTTAAGAAAACATTTTTCTTATAATAATTTTTTATATCGCAGCAATGGAAAATAATCAGCAATTCTGGATGGAAGAGGAAGACGAAAATAGCGTATTATCATCCTCAAAGGATGATAACAATTTTGTAAGTATAAAATTAATTTTAGTATCATGTCATCAATAGACTACAATTTGAAAAAGTTTCCTTTTTTGTAAAGAAAATATTTCAAAAATATTCATAGATTTGAATCAATGTTTGTTGGGTATATTCTTTTAATTCCAGACATTTCTAAAAGATCTGAAGAATAAGGATAACTGTGAAAGTGAACTTTTAAATGTGGCCAAACAACTGTTGGAAAAGGAACTTAATTCTCCTGAAAATGAAGACGTATTCAAGTGGTGGTATGCCAAATTTGAAAAATTGCATGGAAAGCAAAAAGAATTAGCCCAACGAATCTGCATAGATGCCGTTTTTGCAGCTGCTAAAGGTTCTTTAAACTACGATGTAATGAAACAATTTCGTGAATCTTTATCCCGTTCTCATTCAACAACGTCTGATATAATGTAAATATAATTAATCGTCCAAAAGTTTTATGTTCAAAATTCATTTTTTAAGATTTAATAATTTTTAATGAATTACCTTGAATTGCCTGTTTTTGTTTAATGTTTTAATTCCAAGTTTTCTTTTTACTTAATTTTAATTATTTTTTTAATTCCATGTATTTAACAATATATGATTTTAATTTATGTATAATATTCATATATTCTGTATATAAAATCTTTAATTCTAATAAAACTGATTTTAAAACCAATTTGAAAAAATTCCCATTAATGTTATTAAATTGCAGCGAATTAAAAAGAAAATGATATGGCTACTCCAAAAAAATTAATACAAGGTGGTCAATTTTTCACAGCTGTCAAAGTTTGTTTATTTATTTTTTAAAATTTCCGTTAAAAAAAATTAAAAACTTCGAAGTTTTTAAAAACATTTATGTAAATTAAATAATAATAATTAAAAGAAAAATTCTACGTATAAAAAGTGTAAAAAATCAAAATCTATTGAAAATCGAATCAAAGAAATTGTAAAAAAATCTAAATAGCAATTAAAATTTCCAAAGAAAATAAAATTTATATAAATAAAATTAAGAAAAATTTAGTTGCATGTACATGTATATGTATATAAAATAGAAATTGCAACATGAAACTGTTAAAGTTAGTTTTTCTTCAAAAGAAAACTATAACAAAAAACATAAATAATGGCCGTTATAAATATATTTTTGTTGCCATATCTTGTTTATGTTTTGTCTATATCTTTCTTTAGTAAGTGCCTAAAGAAAGAAACGAAAAGGAAGAAATAGAGAGCTTATACATATGTATAGCGAAAAAAAATATATAAAATTAGATAAGAAATACATATACGGAAACAAAAGAAAGTAATAGAACTTACTAAGTAAATTTGACAAACTATTTAAGCGGTGTTTTCGTTGTTCGTAACAACATTTATAAAAAATACTAGTAGTGGTTTGGTGCATAGTTTAAATTCCTATTAAAACATTAAATAAAGAATAAAGTTTTAAATCGTGCAAATAAAATTAAACTGTATAAGGAAAAATGTCTGATTTACCCAGTGATCTTAAACAGTTATTCAAGTAAGTGTCAAATTTTCAATTACATAAAACACTATTTGGGGAATTACATATAAACTTAGTTAAGGAATTTGTTGTAATGTTTAAACAAAATTAATTATATTGTGTTTAAATTGGTTTTCTTTACTAATTGATTTTCAATGAATAGTTTGTAGAGTTTTATGTAGAAATTTTCAAAATGATCTTCACAATGCTTCTGAAATTTTAATAAATTTCACTATTATGTATATAAATAGATAAATAAAGTTATTAAAATAATAGTTTGTTAAACAAAAGGTATTTTAGCGTAAATATGCCACAGTTGTTTAATTTTTTAAAACTTTTTTTTCATATAGTTTTTAATTAAAAACAAAGAATATAATTAAAAATATGTAAACCACAAATTGAAGAATAGTTTATTTAATTGTTATTATTATTAAATATTTTACAGTATATAATGGAACCTTTTTTTTTGTTAAAAAATATTTCTTTTATCATTGTATAAGTGAATTCATGTTATTCAAATATTATTGTTGTTGAAGTTCTTTGAATTGTTGGTAGAAAAGTTTTTAATTTTATTTTTATGTTGCGGTTAATTTTATGATCCGTTAAAGTTCTAACAACAGAATGTAGTTTTGCCAGTGTGTATTTAACTAGCAATGTGGATGAGAAGGATATATGGTTTAGGGTTTTATACTCTAGTCTATAACATTGTCTAGTTTATACTCTAGTCTATATCTTCTATAATCCAGTATGTAGTATAGTCTAATCAATAATCTAGTCTATAGTCTAGTGGCTAGACTCTAGTCTATAGTTCAGTCAATAGACTTGTCTATAGTCTAGTGTATAGCCTAGTATTTAATCTAGTCTATAGTCTCTATAGTCTATCTAATTCTCCGCTTTATTGCAGACTTGTTAATGAAAACAAATCGAAATACATTGATGACCTCAGAACTGCAGTAGGCATACAATCTGTCTCAGCATGGCCAGAAAAACGTAGTGAAGTTGATCGTATGGTACGTTGGACCGAAGATAAATTAAAGGTCTTGGGAACTGAAACTAAATTGGTGGATATAGGTAAACAAACTCTACAAAATGGTGAAAAACTACCTCTACCCAAAGTTTTATTGGGCACTTTAGGAAAAGTACATTTCAAGAGAAAAACAATTCTTTTAAAATAACGAAAATTAAAATAATGTTGTTTTATTTTCTAGGATCCCAAAAAGAAGACCATTGTTGTCTATGGTCACTTGGATGTACAACCCGCCCTTAAAGACGATGGTTGGGCTACTGAACCTTTCGAATTGACCGAAAAAGATGGTAAACTTTATGGTCGTGGTGCTAGTGATGACAAAGGTCCCGTTCTTTGCTGGATACATGCCATCGAGGCCTATCAAAAGTTAAACATTGATATACCAGTGAACATTAAATTTGTTTTTGAGGGCATGGAAGAAAGTGGCAGTTTGGGTTTAAATGATCTCCTTATGAGTTTGAAAGATAATTTCCTAGCTGATGTTGATTACGTTTGTATTTCTGATAACTTTTGGTTGGGCAAAACCAGACCATGTATTACTTATGGTCTACGTGGGGTAGTCTACTATGCTGTTGAAGTTGAATGTGCTCAAAAGGATTTGCATAGTGGCGTGTTTGGTGGTACTGTCCACGAAGCCATGCCCGATTTGTGCTGGTTGCTAAGCACATTGGTGGATAAGGAGACTACAATTCAAATACCTGGAATTGAAAGAGACGTAAGTGTGCTAGTTAATAAGTGTGTTCATAAATATGAATTGAATATTAATATAATTTTTTCTTTTGGCTTATTGTTATAGATTGCTCCTCTGCTGCTCAATGAAGAGGAAATTTACGAAAAAATAGATTTTGTAATTGAAGATTACAAGTAAGATACAAAAATTATAAAATTAATTTCTTTGAAATTAAATTTGTTTTACTTTTTTCCTTTCTCTGCAGAAAAGACATCGGTGCCCGAGCTTTGCCCCACAAAGAAAACAAAACACAATTATTGATGCACAGATGGCGTTATCCCTCTTTGTCTATTCACGGCATAGAAGGTGCCTTCTCCGATGCCGGTGCCAAGACTGTTATACCCGCCAAAGTTATTGGTAAATTCTCAATACGTTTAGTGCCCAATCAAGAACCCGAACACATTACCGAATGCGTTACCAAGTATTTGAATGGAAAATGGGCCGAACGCGGTTCACCCAATAAGATGAGCGTGAAATTGTTGTATGCCGGTAAACCCTGGAACGAAGATCCCAATCATCCCCATTATGAAGCTGCCAAACAGGCCGTAAAGCATGTCTTTAACGTAGAGCCCGATATGATACGAGAGGGTGGTTCTATTCCAGTAACTTTAACTTTGCAAGAGGCCACTGGCAAGAATTGTATTCTATTGCCAGTAGGTGCTGGTGATGATGCTGCTCATTCTCAAAATGAAAAGATTGATATTTACAACTATGTTGAAGGCGTAAGTTTAGCTTTATTTAATATGTTTTTTCGAAAGAGATTAATTAAATATCATTTTTTATTTCAGACCAAATTATTGGGTGCTTATTTGTATGAAGTTGCTAAATTGAAATAATGGCATAAAGCCATTTAAGTGATATTTAAAACATCACTTTTACAACACATAAGCTAAAAAATAATGATAACTTTAAAAAGCTGAGATTCCTTATTATGAAAAACTTATTTTTATAAAATTGCAAATAAAAAATTTATGACAACAAAAACGTTAAAAAATGACCGTGTTGTGAACTTGTATAAATCTTTAAAAAAACTGATTTTAAGCTAATTTGAAAAAATCTCAAAGAACTAATAAAATTGCGGCGAATTTAAAATAAAAAAGGTATGGCCACACTGTGTACTCTGCCTATCACAAGGCTGCAGCAAAAAGTAGTAGAACATACAAAGTAAATTAGGCAACCCTTTTTTGACAACCTATTTAAACGGTGTTTTTGTTGTTCGCAACAACATTTATTAAAAAAAGTGGAAGAAAGTGGTTTTGCTAAATAAATAATACCGGCAAAACGTATTATTTTTCCATTATTATTTTATTGAACAATTTCTATTGTGCATTCTCCAAACGAACAGTGTGTGTTTGTGCATAATTTACACCACATACATATACTAAATTCCTATTAGCCATTTAATAAAGAAAAAAGTGTTGTCTTCTTTAATTTGTGCAAAAAAAAAATTAAACAGTGAAATAAAAAATGTCTGATTTACCCAGTGATCTTGTCCAGTTATTCAAGTAAGTGTGAAAATTGAACTACATGTTATAAGGGGAATAACATAGTTTGTTGTAATTATGAAAAAAAAAGAATAATTACATTGTGGTTAAATTGGGTTTCTTTGCTAATTAATTTTACAATGAGTAGCTCTGGTACAGTAACTCAAAGATAACGCCCACCGCTATTGCATATAATACGTAGCACGTAGATTCCTGAAATTTTTTCATACGATAACGTTTTCATGTCATATTTATTGCAGTTTTATTTTTAAATCAACTTTTTGTTTTTTAGCTGCTGACTTTTTCGTTAATACATATATTTTTTACCATTTTTATTTATTTTGTGGTTAGATTTAACCCTTGGTGGCAAAAGTTTTTTTATTTATTGTTTATTTACATTTTGTGAAGTTTTTTTATTGTAAACTAACTGTAAATAAAAATTCCAAGACAGTAGGAGCAGGGTTGGTGAAATTGGTACAATTATACTTTTTTCGTTATAACTCGATCTTTAAACTTTCAATGATACACCAGTGCCTAGTCTAAAAACTTTTCTATGGTCAAGTGTATTAACTAGTGGAGCGATTAGTCTAAAAATTAGTTGTTTTGCTAATCTATCTAATGGAACAGTCTATTGTGCAGTTTTGTCAATTATATCGTCTATAGACTAGTGTAGCCTATAGACTAATATATTGAATAGTCTGCTACCTATAATATAGCATACTCTATAGACTAATCTATTGTGTAGTCTATAGACTAGTCTTTAGGCTAATCGATTGTGTAGTCTATGAAATAGTCTATTTTCTAGTCAAAAGAATAGTTTTTTTCTCTAGTCGATGGAATAGTCTGTTTTTTGCTATTAAAAATGAGTAATAAGGGTTTACGACTTCACCTAGACCTCGTACAGGTACCCCCTTGGAATACAATTCTTTAAACATATGGTATTATGCGGCAAGAATTATTTACTCTGTAGAGTTTATAAGTTCATCATTGACCCAATTTTCTATATAACAAACACCAACTCAAACACATTATATACGCTCCCCTATGGTAGTGTAGTTTTTTTAGAAACTAATTAAAATTAACATAAATTTTACCATTTACGTGCTGAAAACAAAGTGCTTAATCGATGACAGTTTTCATTTGTAATATAAATTAATATGCATATTTTAACACCAATTAATATGATTGCAATTAATTTAGCATAATTTAAAATTAAACAAATAAATGTAATATAAATATATTCTTATTTTAATTTATTTATTGACCAAAACGGTAACATATTGTAATTTTGTAAAGAATATTTTAATAATGTTAAAAAATGAGTTTTTATACAAGGGCTACAGTAGAAATTTTTGTTGAAAATTATAAAGTTATTTTAATGGGAATTACATTCTTTATTCTAAAGTAGCCATAACATCAAAAATATGGAAAGATGACATTCTGGGAAACATTTGCAATAAGTAAACAATTTGAAATGAACAAAAACTTTGCCATAACTTTGTGTGCACACCTAAACAATTATTTTCTTAATCTTCATTGTTATTTTAAATAAAAGACAACACAATATTTGTTGATTTCAATAATTAAATTAAAAACACATTTTGTTTTCCTAACAAGTACTTAGTATAAACTATACAAAAGTAGTATAAAACAAATTGAACAAATTTAAAATAAAATTATTAAATAAAAGCTATTATTGCACTGAAATTTGTTTACTTATATAAATTGCAACATTTATTTATAAAAAAAAAAACAATTCAATTTACAGAAAAAGTATCAAAATAATAAAGCTATTGTTGAAATTTATTATTTAAATTAAAAGTTTAAACTTTATTCTTTCACTCAATTCAAAACTTATTTTTAGTTTAATATTAAAAACCCTAGAAAACTTAATTCAATAAAAATCTCTGGAAATTTTACTAATTAAAAATTGCTATCTCAAAAATGTTATTAAAATTTAAAAAATTTTATCTTTTTGTTTATTAATTTTCTCTTAAAATACTAAATAAAATAAAGTAATAATAAAAAATAAATACTAGCTGATAAACCTACATTTATAATGAAGCCAGAATGATGATGAATCTCCATATTATGGTGGTTGGCACTGCAATAATTTTTATTATAAAATATACATATTTAATGATAATAATATACTTACTCATGTTATTAAATATTATTGTTTATATAATGCATTAATTACAAAACTTATCTATGTTTTTTTAAGGGTTCATTTCAAAAGTAATAATCAGGTTCTAGGCCTTTAAGTGTAGCTTGGAAAAAGAGTACATTTTTATTTATTTAATAACAAATTTTGTAACTACTTATCTGAAAACATGTGTTTTCTCTTCTAATCTAACCATATATTTTAGGTTTTGAGGGTTTGATGTGTCAAGTGCACATAAATTTCACAACCGTTATATAGAGAAAGAGAGATAAATAAAGTTATTAAATAATGTATTGTTATACATAATCATAAAATGCTTTTGATTGTAAATATTTCAATAAGTATTGGATTGATAAAAGTTATAGAATTTATTAATAAAGAAATGTTTCATGTTAAAACAAAAGGTAAACGATTTAGCTCTTTAAACATTGATTTCAATAGAAATTCTAGACTATAGTCTAGAGACTGGTCTATAGTCTAGTCTATAGTCTAGCCTATAGCCTAATCTATAGTCTAGTCTATAGTCTAGTCTATAGTCTAGTCTAGTCAGTCTATAGTCTAGTCTATAGTCTAGTCTATAGTCTAGTCTATAGTCTAGTCTAGTCTAGTCTAGTCTATAGTCTAGTCTATAGTCTAGTCTATAGTCTAGTCTATAGTCTAGTCTATAGTCTAGTCTATAGTCTAGTCTATAGTCTAGTCTATAGTCTAGTCTATAGTCTAGTCTATAGTCTAGTCTATAGTCTAGTCTATAGTCTAGTCTATAGTCTAGTCTATAGTCTAGTCTATAGTCTAGTCTATAGTCTAGTCTATAGTCTAGTCTATAGTCTAGTCTAGTCTATAGTCTAGTCTATAGTCTAGTCTATAGTCTAGTCTATAGTCTAGTCTATAGTCTAGTCTGTAGTATAGTCTATAGTGTAGTCTATAGTGTAGTCTATAGTGTGGCCTATAGACTAATCTATAGTGTAGTTTATAGTCTAGTCTATAGTCTAGTTTGTTGTCTAGTTTATAGTCTAGTTTGTTGTCTAGTTATAGTCTAGTATATTGTCTAATCTATAGTCTAGTCTATAGTCTAATCTATAGTGTAGTTTTTCGAATTAATAATTTATTAAAATTTTGATTTTTTTTTCTTAATTACAGATTTGTTGATGAAAACAAATTGAAATACATTGATGTCCTCAGAACTGCTGTAGGCATACAATCCGTTTCAGCATGGCCAGAAAAACGTGGTGAAATTGATCGTATGGTCCGTTGGACTGAAGATAAATTGAAGGCTTTGGGAGCTGAAACTAAATTGGTGGATATAGGTGAAGAAACTCTACACAGTGGTGAAAAAATTCCTCTACCCAAAGTTTTGTTGGGCACATTAGGAAAGGTATTTTCCAAAAGTGAAAATTTCTTTTAAATAAAAAAAAACTAAAATAATTTTTTTAATTTTCTAGGATCCCAAAAAGAAGACCGTTGTTGTCTATGGTCACTTGGATGTTCAACCCGCCCTTAAGGACGATGGTTGGGCTACTGAACCTTTCGAATTGACCGAAAAAGATGGTAAACTTTATGGTCGTGGTGCTAGTGATGACAAAGGTCCCGTTCTTTGCTGGATACATGCCATTGAGGCCTATCAAAAGTTAAACATTGATATACCAGTGAATGTTAAATTTGTTTTTGAGGGCATGGAAGAAAGTGGCAGTTTGGGTTTGGATGATCTCCTTATGAGTTTGAAAGATAATTTCCTAGCTGATGTTGATTACGTTTGCATTTCCGATAACTATTGGTTGGGCAAAACTAGACCCTGTCTTACTTATGGTCTACGTGGTTTAGTCTACTATACTGTTGAGGTTGAATGTGCCCAAAAGGATTTGCATAGTGGTGTGTTTGGTGGTACTGTTCACGAAGCCATGCCCGATTTGTGCTGGTTGCTAAGCACTTTAGTGGATAAGGAGACTAAAATTCAAATACCTGGAATTGAAAGAGACGTAAGTGTGCTAGTTAATAAGTGTGATCATAAATATGGATTAAATATTGATGTTGTTTTTATTGTTATAGATTGCCCCATTGCTACACAATGAACATGAAATTTACGAAAAAATTGATTATGAAGTTGAAGATTACAAGTAAGATAACAGAACAATGTTCTGCTTTTATTTTATATTTATTTTATTATATGTTTTTAAAGATTATAACTCTTGGTGACAACAAGTAGAATGATATGAGGTGCTTAAAGTAAATTAAAATCATATCACTTTTATTTGACAAAAAACGGAGGAAAAACTTAAAAGAGAATAAGATATAATTAGAATTCATTAGGGTGGTTCATCTATAGTTTTTGTTTAAAATAATTTATTTTTTTTCTTGAAAACTTCAATATTTTTAATATTTTTTTTTTTTATATTTCTTAAAAAAATTTAAATTTAAAAAAATATATTTTTCTTTAAAAGTTTTTCTTAATTTAAAATTTCTGTTTTTAAAAAATATAAAAATTTTTTTATTAAAAATTTTCTTTAAAATTGAAATTTTTTATATTTTTCCTAAAAAATGCAATTTTTATTAAAGAATTTAATTCCTTTTTCCACAACAGAAAAGACATCGGTGCCCAAGCTTTGCCCCACAAAGAGAACAAGACCCAATTATTGATGCACAGATGGCGTTATCCCTCTTTGTCCATTCACGGCATTGAAGGTGCCTTCTCTGAGGCCGGTGCCAAGACTGTTATACCCGCCAAAGTTATTGGTAAATTCTCAATGCGTTTAGTGCCTAATCAAGATCCCGACCACATCACCGAATGCGTTACCAAGTATTTGAATGAAAAATGGGCCGAACGTGGTTCACCCAATAAAATGAGTGTAAAATTGTTGAGTGCCGGTAAACCCTGGACCGAAGATCCCAATCATCCCCATTATGAAGCTGCCAAACAGGCCATTAAGCATGTCTTTAAAGTAGAACCCGATATGACACGCGAGGGTGGTTCTATTCCAGTAACACTAACTTTACAAGAAGCCACTGGCAAGAATTGCATTCTAGTGCCTGTGGGAGCTTGTGATGATGGTGCTCATTCTCAAAATGAAAAAATTGATATTTATAACTATGTTGAAGGCGTAAGTTTTGACTTTATTTTCATTTAAATACAAGGTTAATCTTTTTTGTTGTTTTTTTTTCCATTTGCAGACCAAATTGTTGGGTGCTTATTTGTATGAAGTTGGTAAATTGAATTAAGTTTCTAAAGCCGCATTATAAACCAAGTTTAAAACATCACTTTAACAACACAATAAGCTAAATAATAAAGTTAACTTTAAGAAGCTGAGCTTCCATTTTCCAAAATGATAAATACTTTTTTTTATTAAATTGCAAAATAATAAAAATATATGAAAACAAAAAAACAAAAACGGTTAATGAATTATTACTTTATAACTCAGAAAAAAGCCCAGATTTGGTTTTAATTAAGGCTTAAGATTTATTCCACCCAGGCATCTCCATATTTATTTGTTTGCAAATTCTTAGCAGGAGCTTCACCACTACTATAAGCTGATGATCTCTCTGGCTGTCTCATGACCACCGGAGCATCTGGTGGCAAAGGTTTGGAGAAAGGATTTTGTTGTTTCTTTAAGTATTCCTCACGATTACGTCTACGCAATTCATCGTAACTGGTACCCGGTTTAACGGGTTCCAAAGGTATATCAGCATCCACTTGTGTAGTTGAGGGAGCTAAAAATTATTAAAACTTTTAATATGTTACTGTTACTGTTATCTTAAAAACACTTACAATCTAAATTGGGTCTATAGATATCATCCAAGCCGGCAAACGAGGGCCTCGATTCCATATCCAAGTTAAGGGCATTACCCTTGTTTTTGGGCTGAAGATCTACATCTGTGTAGACATCATTGTTATTGGGCGTAAAAGGTGCCAGGGACATGCCCATACCTAAACCTTGGTCTGGTCTATAGCCCGCCAAACCACCTTGATTTTTACGCTGTCTTAAAAGTTCACCCAAACGGGAATCAGGCAGAGCCATAATTTTCTCGGCACATTTTTGCTGGTAACTAAATTTACCCACAAAATAGCCCAGCACTACACCCAATATTACTTTGGGCACCGGACCATATTTAACATTGGGCTGCAAATTAAAATAATTAACAATTTTATTAAAACAATTACAAAATTTACAAAAATCACAAATTACCGGTATAAAACCTTGTTTAACACCAAAATAGGCCGCCAGTCCAAAAGTGGTTCCCAACGGCAAGGAACGTTGGAAAAATGATTCTGTATTACACTCCCGAAATACTCTCAACTCTTCCGAGGAAAATTGATAATTGGCCTGCAAGCACGATAATTAAGAATTTCTTCATATTTTTTAATTATTTCTTATTTTCTTTCACTTACCAGAGGATGCTGTGGTTGTTGTTGCGTATCATTTGGATTCATCTTCGTTTTTTGTGTGATATTTAGGATAAAATTATACAATTCTATTAAATCGTAAAAAAACAAAGACCGGTGTAGGAATTATATTTCTGGAATCGATCAGCTGTTGTGGGTGCAAATTTTCAGAGTTGTAAATTTAAGTATAAAATGAAATACACTGTTAAAAAAATAATATATTGATTTATTTTTACCGTTATAATTTGAATATTGTTTACGGTCTTTGCTTACGTTAAGCAATAGGTTATTTTTATTAGAAAGCCCTGATCTCTCAAAATGGTTGATTTTTTGCAATTTAAAATTCGACCTAGCATTCTTTAATAATATGTATTCGCTATACATATATTCTTTTTAACATATTTTAGAAAAATATATCTAGTTCTCTCATAAATTTTTTATTGAGTACAAAAATTGATAACTGTCCAATTTACACTTTGTCAATATATTTATTTATTGAATGCGAGGTACACTTCCACTCGGAGACTTCTAGAATCCTGTGATATTCACTTTTAAAACAACTCCTTAATAACTTTTACAAATAGAATATTTAAAATATTATAAAATATTTATAAAACTATAAAATGTTATTCACACACACACTTAAAATCTATGTTGTTAACCAAAAACCTCCACAGTGGCAATACTCCCAACGCTGACACCAGGCTTTTAAAGCCGATGTCTTAGTATTCCTATTAATGTTATTAATAAAACCACAACGTATACATTTGCGTACCGATTTGACTTTGGAGCCCAAATGTAAGTTGCTAACATCATCTCGGGTACTATTGGCGAATACCACTTCATCGTAGTGTAGATCTTGCAAGGCCAAAGGTTCTACAGAAGTTTGAAAAACGAACGGAAATAGTTTGGTTGTGGCATGACTATTTAGTAAAGTTGTAGGCGTGTTCAAGTGACGGTTGGGTATTAACACCTGTGTGGATAAAACACTGCAGTCATCTAGTAAACCATCATCGGGTTCATTGGGGTTCTGATAGAGTCTGGTAAGGAGTCTAAACAGCACGGGTAGCACATCAAAGGATTCTATGGATTTAGTATAGATGGGTAGACATTGGGGATTTAATAAACCCCATATGCGTATCATTACCAGCAGTTCACGTATACTGCTTATGGCGATCATATCTCGGCTTATATCATAACCATGTTTCTTATTGAATTTACTCTTCATTATTTCATCTGGCAATTTGTTGAGTATATTTAAACCCAAATCGGCTACCCACTGTATAAGTTGCTGCAGACTTTGTAGGGTAGCCGGCTCTACTGTATAATCTTTAGCATCTAAGACACAAAGAACTTTATCCACATCATTGTATTGAGGATTTGGATCAGATAAAATCATGGACAAATTTTCAGCCGGTCCCTTATCCTGAGAACTTAGATCGGAGGGGCGTAGTAAAGATTTGAAAGCAATGGAGATGGAGTGTAGTGTTATAAGATTATCAAAATCCTGTTGTTTGGATTGTATGCGGCAGAGATTGCTTTTCAAGGAGAGAAAATTTGAATAATAAAATTGTCTGGTGAAGTTGTGTTGTCGTGTAAAATTCTCCGTAAGTTTTTCAGCCAACATTTCTAGATTGGGTAGATTTAACATGATCACATCACTAGCATCTATGCCAGTTACTATGCTATATTCCAGTAAAGCTACCGGTAGGGATAAAGGATTCATTTTGTAGTTTTTATCATAATGATTTGTGGGTACTTGCATGGCATACATTTGGCCAAAATTGTCAAACAAAACCAATAATTGATTAAGATAAGTGACATCAGCGGTTAATAGCTTGCAAGGCATTCTATGTTGTTCCTCTGCCATACGCTCAAATACAGTAGAACCTATTTTCTTTAAACCCAACTCCAAAACTTGTACGGAGTTATCGCGTAAAGTAGCAAAAATCAACATGGCTTCCGAAGGTAGTTTGGTAATGCATACATCACATACTCGGGAGGACAACGCTAGTTTAGCAGAATTTTCCCATTGCTCCCATTGAACAAAGTCACTTTTATTCTTTTGCAATAACTTATGAACGGCCTGGTGCTTCTTGGTTAAAATCCATTGTTCTATGAAACTGCCTTCCAAACAGTCATAGACTACAAATAGAATTTCCTCGCCATTTATAGTGCGCCAACGTATATGGGAAACTTGTTTGCTCTCTACCTCTCCTTTGGGCAAGAAAATACTAGCCACGGAATTGCATTTAATGGTGACTGACTCCTCTGCATCTCTTTCTACATTAACTTTATAGCAGTTAATTAATGGTTCATGCCAGCTGTTGACCGCCACACTAAAGTACCCGGTGGGACACCAAGTTACACTGCTGTGTGTAATGTAACTCCTTGATAAACCAATAGAATGGGTGTAAACATTTAAATCTGTGGGCACATAGCTGCCGTTGGTTAAACTATCCGCTGGTGGTAATAATTTTGGTATAATAAAAGCACCCAACAAACCGGACGAAGTTAAAACAAATACTCCCTCCACAGGAGTATTGCCAAAGTGGGTCATGGAAGGTCTAAAATCCATTCTTTCAAACTTATCGGAATAGGCCTGTAGATCTTTTTTGTGTGTATTAAAGTACACTCTCTTGCCATTATGGAAAAATTTTGCACTTAATATCTCCTCACTTGGCAAATTGGCCTTGTATAGTAATATCCAACTGTTGATGCAATTCTGTTTGGTGGACCAAATCTCACAAATGCCATTCTTACAGCCAGCCATTAAAAACTCACCAGTTTGATTCCACTCCAAGACGGTAACAATATTTTTACAAGTATTTAACTTGAAACTTTGCCAAGGAGTCACTATGTCACAGACATAAATGTTGCTTTGCAAACCTTGGTGGACACAAAACGCCACAACATTTTTGCACGATATTTTACACAAAACACAATTGGGCAAGAGGTAACCATCTTTATTGCCACCAGGATTCTGAACTTTATATAAAATTGTCATGGTTTTTTAAAGAATTTTGCAAAAATTTCAATTGAAAATAAGAATTGTTTTGTAAACAAACGGAGAGAAAAGTATAAGTGCTGCCAAGTTTAGGTTGGAGTAATTACACAGAAAAAAATATTTTATTATTTTTTTTTAATTACAGTGTTATATTTAATTTCACAATGATATTTTAGTATTACAAATATATTTTTATTGTTAGGTTGTTTAAAGAAACTTAGTCAAGGCTTCAAATTTTAAGGTTTTTAAGATTGTGGATGGGAAATCAACTAACATTTTTATATACAAAAGATTTTTGTTTTTAACAGTAATTGTTTAGATATTTTTTCTCTCAAGGTATAATGACAAATAAAAATAATTTTTGATATATATGTATATTTTTAAATTAAATTTTCGTGAAATCTTCTCTATTACAATTAATTCTAAAAAAAATATTCTTAATTTAATTACCTGCCACTGATTTTGCTTCGTGAGCTGGAAAAACAGAGATGTTAATTTGACATTTACGCGCGAGTAATCGGTTATGACATATTTAGCTGTCATCGCGTAAATTATCACCATTGACGGCTCTGAAGGATTTCCTAGATTTAGTAAAAAGAAAAAATTAAATTAAAGATTTTATTAATTTAGATAAGAAATAGAAAAATGTTTTGTGCTTATACACATTCTTTGGTAAGTAGTTTAATTGATTCCATAAAGAAATAAAGCGAAAACTAAACACTGTTTGTTGCTCTTAGCCCTATTTGTATTTGGGTAACTTTGGACGTAAACCACATCATTATTACACAGCCAACAAAAATAAAGTGCAAAATTCGACAATTGCCACGGGGAGAACGTACACAAATAGAGCAGCAGCTGCTGGAAAACAACGACGTGATGCGTTAAGTAAGCCTTTGACCTCAGAGGCTGTCAGCTCGGCCCAGAATATGATTCGTGTGCCGCAGAACTTGCGTCACATGGTAAATCAACATAATGCCACAGCCGCTAACTTCTTTGAGGCGGAACGTCTCAATCATATGTTAAATAAAGCAAAAACTATGTTGGCCTCACACCTGCAGCAGTTGGAACACATAGAGGTGAGAAGGGTGAAGAGCAAGAAATCGCATCATTTGATAGAACTTACATTTAATAATGCAATGGCTCACAATATGCCTGCTCCACAAAAATATTCCAAATTGTTACAAACTATTATACCTCAACATCAATTGTAAGTTGATACATTTTGGGAAAGGAATTGTTACCTTTTTATTAAAAATTGTTTATATTTTAGAAAATTTGTACGTAGCTTTAAGACGGATCGTTCCATAGCTGCTGAATTGAGGCGTAATCCCACAGTGGCTTCCCGCTTGCGCACTGCTTTTAGTGGTAATCCACAGAAATTGGAAGGTGAATTAACTAGTGGTTCGGAAACATTGAAAAAACTATTGGAGAAATCAACCGAAAGTGGCAGTGGAAAGGTAGTTCGTTGTTTTTTAATATCTTTAACTAAATTAATGCTTAAACATTTAGGAAAACACCATAAAAATTGCCTTTGCTGAGGGTTACTTAGCTGCTGTTAATTCTGAAGATCATCCCAAGTCGGGCAAAACAATGAAATATCTTAAGGTTGGTATAAATGAACCCTTCCCAAACTAACTTTTAAAACATTTTAATATTTATACAAACTTAGGTCTTTCAGCAATTATTAGTAATTGTGGTATTTATTGGCATATTCGTTAGTTTATTCTCTTCCTCAAATGGTTCCATGTTTCGGTAAGTTTTTATTGGTTTAAAATAAATTTTAAAATACATATTCATTACTATGTTTCTTAAAGTATACAATTAGGCAATCAGGTGGAAGTAGATCCTGAAGAAATACATGTTACCTTTGATGATGTCAAGGGTTGTGATGAAGCAAAACAAGAATTGAAAGAAGTGGTAGAATTCCTAAAAAATCCTGAAAAGTTTTCCAATTTGGGTGGCAAATTACCCAAAGGTGTTCTATTGGTGGGTCCTCCCGGTACGGGTAAAACTTTATTAGCTCGAGCCGTAGCTGGTGAAGCTAATGTACCATTTTTCCATGCCGCTGGTCCAGAATTCGACGAGGTATTAGTGGGCCAGGGAGCCAGACGTGTACGTGATTTGTTTAGTAAGTTTTTTGGTGAAGATATTCTTAAATTTATTTTTAAAGATTTTCTTTATTTTTATTTTTATAGAGGCCGCCAAACAACGTTCTCCCTGTGTTATATTCATTGATGAAATTGATTCTGTGGGCGCTAAGCGTACCAATTCAGTTTTACATCCTTATGCTAATCAAACTATTAATCAATTGTTATCCGAAATGGATGGTTTCCATCAAAATGCTGGTGTTATAGTTTTGGGTGCCACCAATAGACGTGATGATTTAGATCAAGCTCTTCTTAGACCGGGTCGTTTTGATGTTGAAGTAGGTTTTTATTGTTATGGAATTTTTGGTTAAGTATTTAACTAATGTTTGCTTTATTTTAGGTCGTCGTAAGTACTCCCGATTTCTCAGGACGCAAAGAGATTATTACTTTATATCTCTCGAAAATTTTACACGATGAAATCGATTTAGATATGTTAGCTAGAGGAACATCCGGTTTTACTGGTGCCGATTTAGAAAATATGATTAATCAAGCTGCTTTAAGGTAAGTGTTCGTCTTCTTTTTTCAAATTTATCTCGGTCTAGAGACAAGTTATTGAGTTTATTAGAGGATATAAATTAGAGAAAAGGATGACATAGTTGAGAAGAAAGTTTCTTGTAAACTTGTGACTTAAATAGATGATGTTTACAAGAGGCACAAAGAATGTAGATGAGAAGTCTAGCTGGCCCAAAAAAGCATAACATTGTACTATTGTTTTAAAAATAACTTTTACTGTAAACGTCTTCAGAATTTGAAGAGAATTTCTATATGAGAGAAGAAGGAGCAAGAGCAAAGATTTTTTTGAAAGAAAATTTGTAAGAAAAATACTTAGGAATCCAATATTTACATGTAAATCAAGTACATATTTGAATTATGTTAAAAACAAAAGTTAACCTTTTCGACTATAACTGATATCTGGGGGCAAATTCTGGCATTCGAAAGCGAATGAAACCTCAGTAGAATTTAAAATTGGTCCCTGTTCATTAAATTGTTGCCAGAATGAAAACTAGGCGAGTATTTGTTTTCAAAATTTTGATTTTTTCACTTGTTTGAAAAGTTAGTCCTAGATTTATCAAGTGAATCCTAAAGAAGTGTATCCATCTAAATAATTTTTCAAAAATCAAATAGAATTTTCATAAGAAATAGATTTTTCATAAGGTTTTTGGTAAAAACATATTAGTTTAGTTCTTGAAATAGATTTTGTCAATGCTAGGAAGTGAATTAGTGAAAAAATTCCAGTGTCGAAGTACAAAAAGTTAGAAAAAAAGACCATTAATAGCAAAGAACTAGAAAAAATATATTACGAAAAACACACAATTTTCTCCCAGAGCGGCCATTGATGGAGCAGAGACTGTTACAATGAAACATTTAGAAACAGCCCGCGATAAAGTGCTTATGGGTCCGGAACGTAAAGCACGTTTGCCCGACGAGGAAGCCAATCTTATAACAGCCTACCATGAAGGTGGTCATGCGATAGTAGCCTACTACACCAAGGTGAGTAAAGCTGCTGTGGCTGCTGCATAAACTTATAGCTATTAATCACAAAATGACAACTTTAGGAATCACATCCTCTACATAAAGTCACCATTATGCCGCGAGGACCATCACTGGGACACACCGCCTATATACCTGAAAAGGAACGTTATCATGTCACCAAACAACAATTGCTGGCAATGATGGATACCATGATGGGTGGACGTGCCGCTGAGGAATTAATATTTGGTGCAGATAAAATCACTTCGGGCGCCAGTAGTGATTTAAAACAAGCCACCTCCATTGCCACACACATGGTTAAAGACTGGGGCATGTCAGAGAAAGTGGGTCTACGTACAATTGAAAGTTCAAAGGGTCTCTATCCAAATGATGCATTAGGACCAAATACTGTTGAGGCAGTAGATGCTGAAATCAAACGTATACTTAACGATAGCTACGAACGGGCCAAGGCAATTCTACGTAAACATGCTAAAGAACATAAGGCATTAGCTGAAGCTCTTCTAAAGTATGAAACCCTCGATGCTGAAGATATTAAGGCCATTATGAAGGATACACAATAGTAAAAAAAATAACTTAATTTTTCAACAAAACAACATAATTACAAACAAGACGTTTTAGTTCTACGTTACTCTATATTAAACAAAAATAAACTTTTACTTAAATTTACTAAAAAAAGAAAAATTAGTATAAAAACTATAAAAGAAAATTACAATAAGAAGCTTGGAAATTGGCATTACTTAACAAATATGTATACAAAAGGACATGATATAGCAAAAGAAAAAAAAACCTGCTAAGCAAATGCTTATTTAACAAGAGTCAACTGAAACAATATTTCAACATGGATCACAAGGAAATAAGAAACAAATTAATTAACAAACTCCATTTTATTTTTTGGTAATTCCATAGTCGAAAACAAAAATAATGTAAGAATAATGAAAATAAAATGAAAAAAAAAATGGAAAAAATTGATTTCAAATCAAATTGTATTTAAGTATTTTTATTTTACTGCGGGAGGTTGGTAAGTTTGTTGAAATTTCATGTTCATCAAACATTTTGTTTTCATCTAACATTTCATCTGAACTAATAGTTGCTATCTGCTGAAATCCATTTCGTGCTGTGTTCGAAAAACATTGAGAATTTAAAGGATTCATATTTGCTTCTAATTTCAAGTTCCGATTTTGAACTTTCAAAATTTTGAAAATAATTTAAAAATTTTTTATGATTTTAAAGTACATATTTTCAATGTAGTTGCAGAAAATAAAACTTTTTAAAGTTTTTTCGAAAGTTCGAAAAAGTTTTAAAACTTTTAAAATAATTTTGAAAACTTTTAATGAATTTTAAAGTATTTTCCATGTGGATTTAAAATATGAGATTTTTAAGGTATGTTCGAAAATTCGAGGTTATGTTCGAGAAAATTTAAAGCCAATAAAATTATCTACAAATCTCGTAAATTCGAAAAAATATTATTTTATATCGATTTTCTTCAGATTTTTCAATTTCAAACATAAAAATTTTAAAAAAAATTTGAAATTTTTTTATGGATTTTAAAGCATTTTCAATGTAGATTGAAAATATAACGTTTTTAAGTTATGTTCAAAAATTCGAAGTCATGTTCGAAAAATTTTGAAATCATTCAAATTATCTATATATCTTGAGAATTCAAAAAAATATAATTTTATATCGATTTGAGGCCACTTTAAAATAATTTTAAAATTATAAAGTTCGAAATTGAGTTCGAAAAAATTTAAAATCATTAAAATCTAAAAATCATGAGAATTAAAAAAGATCGACAAATTTTATATCGAATCGAGGCCACTTTCTTCAAATTTTTCAATTTCGAACTTAAAAACTTTGAAAATAATTTTAAGCATTTTCTATGTAGATTCAAAATATTATGTTATGTTCGAAAATTCGAAATTAAATTTGAAAATTCGAAGTTATGTTCGAAAAAATTTAAAACCACTAAAAATGTCTACTAATCTTGAGGATTCAGAAAAATTTAATTTTATATCGATTTGAGGCCACTTTCTTCAGATTTTTTCTATTTCGAACTTAAAAACTTTGAAAATAATTTGAAAATTTTTCATGGATTTTAAAGCATTTTCAATGTAGATTCAAAATATAACATTTTTATGTTATGTTCGAAAATTCGAAATTAAATTTGAAAATTCGAAGTTATGTTCGAAAAATTTTTAAAGCCATTAAAACTATCTACAAATCTTGAGGAATCAGAAAAATATAATTTTAAAGTCATTTGAGACTAATTTATTCACATTTTTCAATATCGAAAAATGGAAACCTCTACAGAAAGAGTCCTAAAAGAATCTGAATATCCCTATAAAATGTAGACAATTTCCTCTGCAATAGTCCGGTATATTACCGTCCCTCTTACTGACAAAGGCCATAATTGTGCAATGCTCCCTTAAAATCCCAGTCAGAATCCGTAGACTGCTCCTATCCAGTCCTATGAGTATTTTGATAGCGCTTACATCAAGTGTTGGTCATAAGGCCTTTGATATTTTGCAATCCATTCTACAGTTGAAACTTCTTTCTTATTTAAAAATTCGATTAAGAAAATCTTCAAGAAAAACAACAAATTTCAACTTTTTTTTAATGTTTATTATTTTTTTGCTTGATTTTGTTTTTTTAATATTTCTTTTAAATTCAGAATAATATAATATTTATATAATTTAACAGTTTTTTTTCAATTCAATTTTTGTTTCACTAATACTTTCAATTTTCTCTTTCACTGAATTACTTTTCTGTCTTTTTTTTTTTTTGTTTTGCCACGGAATGTATTTTATTTATAATGGTTGTTTTGTTTAAATATTTTTTTTAAATATAATTTAAATTATTTTTTTTTGTTTTTAATTTATAAATGGCTTTTTATTTTTAATAATTTTTGTTTAGCTAAGAGTATAATTATGATATTAGAGAATATGATTTTTTTTTTTTTGTAATCTTTACATTTAAATATTCAAAAATTGAATTAATTAAATACATAATTAAACCAATTTTATGCAATCACAACAAATACAAATGGAGGATTATAATTTTATATTTATTTTTTTGTTAATTAGTTTACTGTCTTTTAATATATTTGTATATAATTATTATTTATTTTTCATTAATTAATTAGTATTCATATTTCTCAATTAATCCTTTAATTATTGTACAATATTTTCATTGTTGGTTTTGTAAGTTTGTTGTTTATTGTAGGTTAACGAAAAAAATTAAATTTAAAAGAAAATTTTTAATAGTCTATTTTTATTAAATACATTCTAATTCAGCTGTAGTTCTGTGTTTTAAAGGGAATTTTTTTTAAATTTTTTAAATGTTGATATGTTGTTAAACATAAATAAATTTCCGCTTACCAAGATTTCAGCAACTTAAAAATTAAGTTAAAACTGTATTAAAACTGAATTTTTTAAACTAGGAATCTGACTTAAATACTTTGGTCCTTCGATGTTGAAATTTCTATAGCATTTGATTTATTTTTATTTAGAGAAGACTCTTCTTGCATTTCCACTTACATATTCGAAGCAGTACATGTTCTAAACTCTAGTTTTGTAAAATAGTTCTGTAGTTTAAAGCGAGTTTAAACTATACATCTATTAACCATTAATGCACAAAATATGACGCTTTTCTATAACTCAAAAGTCGCATTTTTGGCGCTTATTTCATTATGTTGTCTTACGAAAGATCCAAATCGGTTAGTACTGCTTTGTGTTCCCTGATCTTATCGGGTCTATGTTTTAATAGGAACTTTAAAATGCAAACATCCTTTATCCTGTTTTTTATTCATTCTTGTTTTTAGTTTTTGTTATATGAACCAGTTTAAATTTTTTATTCTGGATCTGACTACAGATCCGACATTAGTCCAGACTATAAATCAGACTATAGTCTTGACCATAGATCAGTCTAAAGTCTTGACCATAGATCAGTCAATAGTCTTAACTATAGATCATTCTATAGTCTTGAATGTAGATCAGTCAATATGCTTTACTAAAAATCAGTTCATTTTGGCTATAGATCTGTCCATAGTATTGACTATAGATCTGTCCATAGTCTTGACTATAGAGCAGTCTATAGTCGTGACTATAGATCAGTCTATAGTCGTGACTATAGATCAGTCTATAGTCTTGACTATAGATCAGTCTATAGTCTTGATTATAGATCAGTCTGTTGTCTTGACTATAGATTAGTCTATAGTCTTGACAATAGATCAGTCTATAGTCTTGACTACAGATCAGTCTACAGTCTTGACTATAGATCAGTCTATAGTCTTGACTATAGATCAGTCTATAGTCTTGACTATTGATCAGTCTATAGTCTTGACTATTGATCAGTCTATAGTCTTGACTATTGATCAGTCTATATATAATCTTTACTAGAAATCAGCCAATAGTCTTGACTATAGATCAGTTTAATGTCTTGACTATAGATCAGTTTAAAGTCTTGACTATAGATCAGTCTATAGTCTTTACTAGAAATCATTCAATAGTCTTGACTATAGATCAGTCTGTAGTCTTGACTATAGATCAGTCTGTAGTCTTGACTATAGATCAGTCTGTAGTCTTGACTATAGATCAGTCTGTAGTCTTGACTATAGATCAGTCTATAGTCTTGACTATAGATCAGTCTATAGTCTTGACTATAGATCAGTCTATAGTCTTGACTATAGATCAGTCTATTGTATTGACTATAGATCAGTCTATAGTCTTGACTATAGATCAGTCTATAGTATTGACTATAGTTCAGTCTATAGTCTTCGCTTCAGATCAGTATATAGTCTTGACTATAGATCAGTCTATAGTCTTTACTAGAGATCAGTCAATAGTCTTGACTATAGATCAGTTTAAAGTCTTGACTACAGATTAGTCTGTAGTCTTTCCTATAGACTAGTCTATACTACCTATAGATCAGTTTAAACTCTTGACTATAGGTCAGTCTACAGTCTTGAATATAGGTCATTTTATAGTCTTGACTATAGGTCAGTCTATAGTCTTGACTATAGATCAGTCTATATTCTTGACTATAGATAAGTCTACTTAATCAGTATTGACTATAGATCGGTCTATAATCTTGAGTATAAATCAGTCTATAGTCTAGTATATACAGATAACAGTCTATTGTCATCAATATAGATCAGACTATTGGCTTGATTACAGATCAGTCTATAGTCTTAGCTGTAGATCAGTATATAGACTCGAATATATACATAGATCAAAACTATATAGTTTAATGTCTTGAGTGCAGTCCATTCTTTGTTTAAATTCTTACAAAAACAAAATTTTCAATTTAATATCAACGGAAAAAAGTGATTTAATTTATTTTTCAAAATTAAAGGAAATTGTTTTTTGTTTAAATTTGACACAGAACTTTCATATTTTGTTTTAATTTGTTATTTGTTATTATAATAAATGTAATTGTTATGATTAATATTAATAATATAATAATAATTAATTATTGGAGCTGGATTTATTGTAACATCAAGATTTAATTAATTAATAATATATGCTTTTGCTTTAAAAGTTTATTTATTCCCATAATTAAATGTATAAATATATTATGCTGTAATTATATGGCTTGTTTATTATATTATTAATCATTATAATTTATACAAATACAATTTTGAATTAATTAAAATGGTAAACAACATTTAAATAAATTTCATAGACAAGACCAAAAATAGAAAATAAATTGTATAGTTAATTATACAGACTAGAGTTCGCCCAGCGGTCGAAATTCGACCAGAACTTATGCTGGAAAAAATGCATAAATATGCTAAAATAAAACCCTTTTTTTATAGTTCAAATCTGCGGTAAAAAATTTACTTTATTGATATTACCAAAGTGTATAATTTGCTATTATTAATGTTTTCTTTTAGAAAATGTGATGGGTTTTTGGTAAAAGTCCCATCAGAAGTTTAAAACCTCAATTGCCAAAATTAGTTATAAAACTTGTTTTACAAAAGTATTTCAACTATTTTAAAAATAATAAATAACGAACATTTCTTCTATCGACTTATTATCCCCTACATATTTACGCTACGTTCACAATGCTGGAGTACTCTACTGTACACACCATTAAAGATATGTTAGCTGTTCAAAATACAGAGTGGAAATGTTCTAAATAATTTGTCAAAACAATAAAAATATTTAAAATAAATAATGTCTTATCTAATTATAAATAAATTTTATTTGGATGTAATTAGTAGTCCTTCCATCAAGTATATGCTGTATAAATTCTCCCTTATAACATTCGACAAAGACTTCAGCAGACCTACATTTATTAAATAAACGATAAATTGCTAAGTACGGTTAAACACTCTTTATCCCAAAAGACATGATTTATATTTAGCAGTTTCATCTAGCAGTTTTATCTATTTTTATATAGCATATAACCATCACCTATTCAATTTACAGTTTTCACTTTACACTACTATTTCCTAATTGGTTAGAATAACCCAAAAAAGGAGAATATCAGCAAATCCTCGCTGTGCTAAACCTGCATATAAGCGATATACCTATCCATTTATTGCGGTGTATCATGTACCGGCATGACGAACTAAACTTTACTTATATTTTATACAGGCTTTTTTATTACTTACTGACATTGAATCAATTCGTTAATCCATCATTTAAATCTTCCAAATCAATCAAAACTAATAATTATGTATCGCAATTCAGTATTTTATTTCACCGATTTTTTTCGTTGAACATAATCGAAAAGCATCGGCAGTGTAACGACCAGTAAAAAGTTCACGTTAATAATTTTATAATTTAAAAATATTTCAATACATAACTTTTGACATTCTTATAGTTTTCCGATCTTTGTCTTTAAAATATTCTACAGTCGTTAAAAAGTTAGGGAATTGAAAATTCGTTAATGTAACCGATATTTGTCATTACTTTACGATATTACTGAATTCCGGTACTGATGTCCTACCAATATTTTTCCAGGTCAAACACCAATATCAGTACATTTTTTGGCATATCTTGAGGTGTCCCCAAGCATTATTTACACATGTTTTTATATTCCCAGTTCGTTGTTTCCTCAGGAAAGTCCTTCAATTTAATTATTTTGAAAAGTTTAAATAACGAAAAACCTTCAATCGAAAATTCTGAATATAAAACTGAAGTCCTACTTCTTATAAAAATATTCGATTTGGTAACAATCGTAACGATGTTATAACAAAATTGATCATTATCTCATTCACAATTTAGCACTTTACACAAAAATATAAAACAATAAAATCCTATTTTCGAATTGCCTGAGCCTGTTTACATACTTATTTGATTACAAAAATCTTATTAAAAACAACAAAATCAAAATATCATGCAAAATACAAAAAGAAAACAGCAACAGAGAAGTTAAACGTTTCTGCACTCTCCTCTCTTTTTTCAAAAATCCGTGTTGTTTACTTTTTTGTTTTGTTTCTTGCTTTGTTTGTTTTTAATTTCAAGAACACGTACGTGTGACTATTGTTTCTATGTATTAGTAACTACTTTAAACGTTTATAGCTCCTAAAATTCTGAACCGATCTCATTAATATATATATTGTGCACATCTGTGAACAAATACCTTTAAAATGATATATTTTTTGCCCAGATCAGATGTATACTGTAAGAGTAAAAGGGGTCACAAAAAATCGTCTTGCCTATTAATTATATAGATATTTTTTAGGGATAAAATTTTAAAAGAAATTAACCAACATAATTGCAAATTTAGTTTAATTTAAATATTTAATAAATTTACATAAATACTAGGTATAATAATTAAATATCTCTCATTTCAACTTCATTTTAGTATTGTTGTATGTACATGAATTGTGATTTAATTGTTTAATGGAAAGTATGATTTTGGTATTAATCATGTTAATTTAACATGATTGATTTAAATATTTCAAAGAGTTTTCTTTTTGAAAATACATATGTAAAGTTTTCCAAAGATATCACTTTTATATTGTATATAATTATTATTATAGCAAATGATTATTATTTGATTAATTTAACTATGAACAAACACCAATTCCAAAAAAAAAAAAAAGAAACATTATCAAATAATTAAGTTTTTTTTTTCCAAATATTTTCTTCATTTAATTTATCTATGGCGAAAAACGAAAATCTATAAATACTCAGTTGTAAATTGTTTAAACAATTTGTTGCTTGAATACATTTGAAAAATTTCAATGGCGATCATTAACTATTTCCGCTGAGAGAGAGTTTATGGCATCTTCAACAGTTGGCTTATAACGATCCATTTTCGATGAATTTATTGGAGAGAAATGTTCTGAAATTAATGAATTATTGTCTAAACATCAAAATTGATTAATCGCTTGTGTTTTTCTTTGGGGGACTGTAGTGTTTTAGTTTTGAGTTGAAAGTGTTTTTAAGGTACTTTCGTCGTTGCTTACCAAAATCGCCACTCGAACTGGAATCGGTAAAACTTGGTGTACCCTCGGTCCAGGTGGGTGTTGAACCTTCACCAGACGCTGGTGGTGTCCAGGCTAAGCCGCCCCTCGAACCATAGTGACTACTCGATGATGTATCTACGGCTAAATAGGTGTCTAAATGTATTTCGGAAACACTAAAATCACATAAATATAAATAAAATCAATTCAACTACCGGATGAGTTTATGAGCGTTTATAGATTCTTTCATTTTTCACTGATTCCTGCCATGTGACCTAGATTATATTTTGTGTTAAGTGCCTTTTTGATGTAGCAAACCGTGTGCAATTAAATTTGAATTATACATTCTTACTGATATTACGCTGTTGTATTGGGTTTGCAAAAGAAAGTGGAGAAACTTTAGAGTGAAGTGAGTTTGTCTAGTTGTTACTACTGCGTAAGGGTCCCAGCTGTAAACGGGTTGAAAATAACCAATGCATCCCTTGGAAAAAGGAAGGTAGGGTTGGCGGAGAAGTCGAATATATAGTGTGTATCATAGGGACCCTGTCCACAGGCTGGGGGTGACAGGATCTATGCGTGATCAGTATTCATTCAGTCTGCTGCTGCATCCCGATCTCAGCTGTCCAATAATTAGTCCAGTTTTCCGTAGAAGGTGTTCTATAGTGTCTACTATAGGTGGTAGGCGATCTACAAGTACGACATTCATAAGGTATCCTATGATCTCGATATTGATGGCAGCTCCATGAAGTCGATGAATGCTGCCGATTACGAAGATCAATCCAACAGATCTTGCACATAACGAGGAAGTGTACGAACTTCCTCTTATACAACAACAACACATATTTTTATAACATGAAGATTAATGTAATTCAATTCAAATTTCGGAAACGATTTTACATGGATCGTCCTTATGTCGACACATTCGTTAAACCACTTTCTTTTACAAAAACACTTAATAACAGCGAAACTAAACTAATACACTAACAGACGTACATATTAACTCACCTGACCATATCATCTTTTTGCGAAGACGATGAACTGCGATAGGCAGGACCCACATTCATTTTACGATCATGATACGACGAAGACGAAGTTGATGTTTCGTGTTGTTGATGCGACTTTTGGTGGTGGTGGTGATGCTGATGATGATGGTGATGTTGCTGTTGATGAGATCGCCTTGAAATCGTTGAGGAACTATGTTTATTATAACTATTGTCCTCGGAAATGTCATCAAAGGCAGGGGGTGGTGTCGAACTGCAAGATGGCGTTGTGCCTAGCGATAATACAATGAGAAAATACATGAAATTAATTTGTTAAGAGGTCCTTTCTATATACGAACGTGTACGAGTACAACAACAATATATAATAATAATAAGTATTAAACAACAAAAATGTTTAAACGAATCGTTTACGAATATGTATATAAAAAATGATCGACAAATGGTTAAACAAGAAAATATGTAGTATATGTTGTGTATGGCGGAGTGTGTTGTGTTGTGGCGTGTAATAAATAATAAAAGCATTTTAACTAAAATTCAAATTCAAACACGCTACTACGTCTACTAGGGGTAAGAGGATTAAGGGAGTAACTAGATGCTAAGCCTTCGGATATAGTTGAAGGTACATTCTTGGATCTCTTTTTGGGTTCTGGTTTATTCGTTGTAGAGCGAACTTTGTTTGGATTTTTAACAACATCACCACTATTAGAGGAAATTGCTTTACGATTCTTTTTCTTTACATTTAATTCTTCAGGTTCTGATTCTTCTTGAACTACAACGACACGTTGCTTACGCGGTCGTTTGTTATTCTCCAGTTCGTGTTTTACTTCAACAAAGGCATGCATAGATTGTATCAAATTATCTTCGTATGCTTCGTCATTATCATCGGCCAAAGCCATGTCAGCATAACGAAGATATTGCATGCGCTTTTCACGTCGTTTATTAGCACGGGTTTCACGAAGCTTACTGTTAGTTATATTCGGTATAATACTACTACGTTCGCTGTGCTCGGAAGGTATAGGTGGAAAGTTATGAACAATGGAGGCTGCCGAAGAACGTCGCGACACCAGGCCACTGTTTTGTCTTTGAAAGAGATCAATATGATTTAAGGGGCGTGATTGAGATATTCGAGATCTTGCTGCTGAATAATTGCTAGAAGCCGAAGAAATCACCGAATCTTTACGCTGTAATTTTAGTTTTTGTATAGCAGCTACTTGGAGAGGAGGTGCTCCGGAATATTTACTAGACGTATAAGATATGGCAGAATCTTTGCGTATCTTTTTCAAATTTTCTATATGGGGCTGAATTGGTGTTTGAGTTCGTTGTAGTGGTGGGGGTGGAGGAGGTTCTGTAACTGAAACACCCTCGAACAGATCATGTAAATCTAACCAATCACGCACATTGCTGGGCGAACGTTGCTCCCCGAAACGAGGCAGTGGTGAGTCGTGTGGTACTGTTAAGGTGTCTTTGTGCGAGGGATTGGAAAACTTGTTCACTAATCTTTTGACGTTTACGTTTAAGTGTATACCTGGAGTGGTGGAGAGAGCTCTTGAAGAGCCGCCTTCCTGTTGTTGATAAGCATCACTATCACGTTTACGTGGTGATCCTCTTGGCGGTACTGGAGGTGGAACTTTGGCTTTAAGTGTTGAGCCACTACTAGAAGCAGCAGCCGAACGTTGTTTTACCGGTGGAGCTTGTATAGTTTTCAATACAGACGAACTTGAAGAGGCCGCATGCCCGGAACTTCTTTCATCGCCAGTTGTATGTGCACTCATTGCTTTATTCGAAGCATGTGACTTTTTATTGGCATGTACCGCTGTGGAGTGGGCATGGCTTTGACTATGTTCTAAAACGGAAAGAAGAAGAAGAAAACTTAAAATCGGTGAAACGTATACTATTGCTATAGTTTACCTCTTTGCTCGTTTTCACTGTCTATGGAACGTTGTATTGCTTTCGAGAGACTTTTTCTTTTCGAGGGTGAATGTTTCAGAGCTATAATAATTATTTTTATATAATCAATATTAGTGTGTGTGTAGCAAACGGTTTGAGATTTTTTTTGTAAAGAGACAGGCTTTGGTTATTGGTGATTGATCCAAAACCTGGCCATTTCAGTGATTTCAAGAACAAACTAAAGAAGCAAGCAAATAATTGAAAAAACAAATATATATTTTTAAATGTACGAGTATAAATGAAAAAATGTATGTTTAATTTTTAATATTTACAATGTAGATATTTGAAACATTTAAAAAATTTCATTTCATTTAGTTTAAATTAAAATACTTTTAATTCTCCAAAAAGGCGAGAACTAAAAGTGAACTTTTATTTTGTTCTGATTGCTTATTGAGACTCATCTATATAGCGAGTAATCGTTTTCATAATCTTCGTTCCAATTAAAGCCTAACGATTTAAGCACGATGGAGATGATGATTGTGAAAACGTTTTTGATTTGAGATTATTTGTTATTTGTTTACTCTTCCTTCCTTTTATTTTTCATTTTGTTCTTTGTTTTATCATCATTTACCTATGTAACTGGATACCAAAGTACGAAATTTTCTATGATTTCCTTTGATCTCGGGGAGATCCACTGTGCATACGAATGAAAACGAAAAAAAAGTATAAAACATGAATTGTTTGGTAGCAGCATGATGCCTTCAAAAACAATATATACTAGCGATCGTTGCGCTTTACTTACTAACATTAGGTGAAAAACCCTGCAGACTATTTGGAAGTTTATCGCTCAATTAAGAGATATTTGTTCATAAATATATAAGCAACAACAAAATTGAATGATATTTTCCAAATTGCCTAGCAGAGCTTTTGACCAGTGCAATGTCTTTAAACGTTTTGTGAAACTTACGAGATGGTATTTTACGAAATACAGTTTTGGCCATAAAATTTTGAAATCTTTGAGCATAAAATGAAGGACGACACACCGAGACCGTATCCTAAAAGAATATAATATTAATTAAAACGTTTTAAGTTGGACGTATTGGATTATATTACCCCATCATGTATAATACTTTTAAAAGTGTGCTCTAATTTTTTCTTCAGTCGATATGATTGTAAAATATCGATAATACCTATAAAAAGTAAGAGTCTTTCACCTTTTTCACTGCGTGCAGGTATACCTCCAGGACTAAGGAAGCAAATATTATAAATTATATTATAAATAATATGTATATGTGACTTACGGCATGTCCTCTTCATCATCGATGGGTTCACTTTCCGCCTGTATACTTTCCATGGCCGTAGAATGAGCCACCAAACGTTGGCGATTGGACCTATAGGCCAAACTGTTGGAGAATAAAGAATATTATGAATAACAAATACACCACCATTAACCATTTAGTAATACCTATTGCGATTTATATTGCTTTGTGTTTCTTCATCCTGATTATCGTATTGAGGATCATTTGCTCTGGCCGCCTCTTCGGTGTCTGAATAATCCGACTGCGAAGCCTTACGTGGCTTACGGGTTTTTTGCTTCTCCTTCGAAGCCAAATCCAAATTATGTACACCCACTAGCAGTGAATAATCCATAATTTTAAATGACTCCAAAACCGTGCAATCTCTTTGTATGGTCTTGATTAAAGCCGAATATGTTTCAGCTTCCAGGAGTAAGCCATTTGGATGATGTTCCATAAAATCCAAGTCCTTAAATGTGGGTGATTTTTTGGATCGTTCAGCCTTGTTTGCTTTACGCTTAAAAGTGGAACCTTTGAGATCATATTTCAGATGCATCTTAACATATGAAGGCAGCAAATTGTTCATAACAACCAAACGAATATTTTTGGCATTACTCGTTTGCAAACAATATAAACCGAAGAATTTCGGCAAGAGGGTACGAGGATTTTGATTTAAATTCATATAATAACTAAAAATAAAACATGATAATTCTAAAGGGTCAAACATTTCTTTAAAAACCACTCACCCTGGTAATAGTTTCTGCAAAAATTCACCCTCCTTGTGCTGAACTGTTTTAATTATGAACTCATCATCATGTGTTAGATAAAATATAGAACCGGAAGCACCCGGATTCGATAGTTCTCTTAAAGGTGATGAACACATCGACATCTGAAACAATTTTATTAATAAATAGACTGAGTAAAGGTCTTAATTTGCTGTTGTTGTTAATATTTACCATAAAATCGTCCGGCTGTATGCCAAACAAGTCTCTAAAATAACGAAATGCAATAGGCGCATATATTTTATATCTGAATTCACTATAATGGTGGGCAGGCGTAAGGCTAGAACCTTCAGGAGGAAAGGTTATACTTTCAATTTCCCAAAAGTCCATCATAAGTAAATCACGTTTTGGTTTTGATGCTAAACTACCAACCTGTAATTAGATAAAAAAGGCTTTTAATATACCTATAATATCTGGTAATATTGTAATCAATTTACCGTATGCTGTATACCCAATTGTATAGAACCCATAATCTGTGATGTTTGTATTTTCTTATACGTAATCTCACCACCTTCTCCCACACGCCTATGACCGATTTTTCTTTCCTTATCGGTTTTACTGCGCTGCTTGCTTTGGGACTAGAATGAAACGATTAATTAATTTAATGTTTCTTTAAATAGTTTGAATATCTTTAACTTACATCGGATATAGATAAGTCCAAAGCATCTGAAAATTAAATTAAAATAGGTGTTAGTTTGGTTATGGAAATAATGTAATCATTAAAAAGTGTCATAAATCCTGGGACGTTAAATGGACCTGCTCTAAACGATGACTATAATGGTTTCAACGTAAAGAAATAATATTTTCAGAAATAAAAAATATGGAAATAAAATTGCCCTTTTGAGAACCTATTAGATAGTGTGGAAACCAACATCCATGGAAGGTCTGATTGAGTTAATTGTGTTACAAATTCGTTGACTTTTCTATATAAATTACTTTGATCTTAAAGACCTAAAAATACCCGAATTACAAATAAGAAATTTTGCCTATTAGGGGTTCCGAACACAAGATGAAGGCTGTTTAGCTAGTCGGGGACCTGTCGACTTAAAGTTTGATCAGTTATATATTAAACCAAGATCAATAGATGTTTTGTGAGTATTGTGGGAGGAGAAATTGCTTCATGATTATCTAATGAAATTTACAGAGGGTGTCGAACTTTTATTCGGCGAAATTGACTCGTTTAGTAAACCTTTAAATAAGTTTAACTTCTGGATTAAACCCCGGGCGAATGTTCTGAATATCTGTTCGACTTACAAATATTACTTATGAGGGGATCTAAACTCAAGGTGAGGATGAAATTTTTTAGCTGCGAGATCAAAGGCACTTGTAGAGCACCATCAGTGTAAAGTCTGCTAAGTCCCGCATTAACCATAGATGGGTAAATAGCCTTGGGTATTGTGGGAGGCAGGACTACTTAAAAGTTTAAGAAATATCTAACTGAGAAACCCTCAGTAGGCGTCAAGGTTCTACTCATAAAAACGGCTAACTTTAACCCAAACTCATCATTTTCTGGGTATACTGCCGTGACCTTTGACCTACTACAAATCTGGGTACACTGACGTGACTTTTGGTATAATAGGAATCCTGACATGTTTAACTCATTGAACTGCGTCGGATTAAATAAACGTATTTCATATGATCTTAAGCAGAGTTATAAACTACTGAACTCTTCCCATTTATGGAAATTTCAAAGGAAACGGTGGCCCTATATCCTTGGTCCGTGGTGCTACGTATACAGAAGGAGGCCACAGTGGTAAATGCTACTGAAGCTACCATGACTACGACTAACCAAACTAACCCGGTTTGGTAGTCGGTACTGTTAACGGGGTCACTATAAAGTGCAGCTAACATTTAGAAGACCGACTACCTTTCGGATATGCAGGGATTAAAACTTTACGAAATCGACGAGGAGTTGCTCAAGACCTTTAAGTCGAAATGCTAAACAAGCTTTGGAGACAAAGTTGAATGTAAAATATTGGCGAACTACGATGTATGTTAAGTCGCTAAATGTTAGAAATCTGGCTTATACAAATTTATCGGTGGAATGTCAACATGTCTAATTAGTTTTATGCTGAATTATTTTAAAAAGTTAATACTTTACTAAACTAAATAAGTTTCACCACAAAAACCCACAACTGTCAAATTTTAAATTACACAAAAAAAAAAAAAAAAACATATCAACAATTCCAAGAAAAACATAAACAATTGCAAAAAACCACTAAGGGAGGATTATTAACGAAAAGAGCATACCGTTGCTCTCTTTTAAAAAAATACTGTCACACCAATCTCTTAACTTAACTTTCCAATAAGAAGACGTTGTCAGTTGAACAAATTCATTGATTTTTCTGACTTTGTAATAAGAAATGTACAATGAAAATGGAAAAAATTTTAACTATTTCAAACACCCCTTTAAAATTTTAAGAAATTATAATTTTTTTTTTAAACTAAAATTTACCTTCGGTAACTTTTGTATTAGATGTAGAGGAAACATCCGGATCTATAGTGCTAATACCATCACCTGAAGCCATTTTCTGTAGCCGTTCTTTAGTTCTTTGACTTTGTTTCACTTAGTTTTAGAAATTTAAATAAAAAACCTAATTGTTTTTTAAAATATGTAATTATTTAATTAATAATTAATTAGATTGTTTATAAGCTGAGTATTATTTGTCATATATAGTGTACACGATGATTGATTTATCAACTAAACGGTAGTTTTCTTTATTTTCTATATTTTTTTTCTTTGCTTTCGGTTTGAATTTTACTTTTTTCTTTGGTATTTTACATTATGATTTTAATAAAATTTGTTTTGTTAATTTTATTCTCTTGTTTAAATCACACTCAAAACAACAAAAAAAGAAGAAAATTTGCACTAAATATTTTGATTTATTGCTTTAGTTTAGTAGGTTGGTTAGTTAGTTAGTTTGTTGGTTGGTTACTTAATCACTCTGGTCTTAACAATCACACAGAATTCAACTACTACCAAAAATGAAAAAAATTATAACACTGATTGTTGTAAAAACCTTGGAGCTACTACTCTTCTTATATGGTGAATTGTCTTTTTGCTACTACTATTGCTGCTGTCATTGCATACTTATAGGCGAAAAATGCTTTGGAAAATTACAAATGAAAATTGTGGTTTGATTGTATTCCAGTTGCAACAGGGTTGTATTTACTTTAACATTTTCATACATCCGGTATATTACAATGTTTAAAGGTTGCCAGATTAGTAGGAGTTACTGTTAAAAGTCTGGTTAATAGTTGGTGTTTAAATCAGGGGTGTTATAAATAAAAATTTAAAAATATTTCTTTCCTATTTAAGTTGTTGTGAGAATTTGAATTCAATATCATAACTTTTTTTACTGCAATCGCTCAACTTGAACTTTTTATTGTTAAGGTCAAAGTTCGCATATAAAATTTTTAAGATTGTAATCAAAATATAAACAAAATATATTTTTAAGGTGGGGTCTAAAAAAAACTTAATTATATTATTTTTTTATTTTTTGGAAAAATATATTACGTGAACATTTTAAGAAAACTTTCAATAAGTTTTTTTTTAACTTTTTTTTAATTTTTGGACAAAATTGTTTTTGAAAAATTTAAAAAAAATTAATTAACTTTTTATTACGTGAAAATTTTCAAAAACTTTCAATATTTCTTTAATTTAAATTAATTAATTTTTTTTAAAACTTTGGAAATTTTATTTTTTAATTTAAAGAAATCTTAATTATTTTTTAGTTAGTAACGTAGTTAGTTGGTTAGTTAGTTAGTAAGTTAGTTAGTTAGTTAGTTAGTTAGTTAGTCAGTTAGTTAGTCAGTTAGTTAGTTAGTTAGTTAGTTAGTTAGTTAGTTAGTTAGTTAGTTAGTTAGTTAGTTAGTTAGTTAGTTAGTAAGTAGTTAGTTAGTTAGTTAGTTAGTTAGTTAGTTAGTTAGTTAGTTAGTTAGTTAGTTAGTTAGTTAGTTAGGTAGTTAGTTAGTTAGTAGTAGTAGTTAGTTAGTTAGTCAGTTAGTTAGTTAGTTAGTTAGTTAGTTAGTTAGTTAGTTAGTTAGTTAGTTAGTTAGTTAGTTAGTTAGTTAGTTAGTTAGTTAGTTAGTTAGTTAGTTAGTTAGTTAGTTAGTTAGTTAGTTAGTTAGTTAGTTAGTTAGTTAGTTAGTTAGTTAGTTAGTTAGTTAGTTAGTTAGTTAGTTAGTTAGTTAGTTAGTTAGTTAGTTAGTTAGTTAGTTAGTTAGTTAGTTAGTTAGTTAGTTAGTTAGTAGTTAGTAGTTAGTTAGTTAGTTAGTTAGTTAGTTAGTTAGTAGTTAGTTAGTTCGTTAGTTAGTTATGTTAGTTAGTTAGTTAGTTAGTAGTTAGTTAGTTAGTTAGTTAGTTAGTTAGTTAGTTAGTTAGTTAGTTAGTTAGTTAGTTAGTTAGTTAGTTAGTTAGTTAGTTAGTTAGTTAGTTAGTTAGTTAGTTTTAGTTATGTTAGTTAGTTAGTTAGTTAGTATTAGTTAGTTAGTTAGTTAGTTAGTTAGTTAGTTAGTTAGTTAGTTAGTTAGTAGTTAGTTAGTTAGTAGTAGTTAGTTAGTTAGTTAGTTAGTTAGTTAGTTAGTTATAGTCTAGTCTATAGTAGTTAGTCTAGTTATAGTCTAGTCTATAGTCTAGTCTATAGTCTAGTCTATAGTCTAGTCTATAGTCTAGTCTATAGTCTAGTCTATAGTCTAGTCTATAGTCTAGTCTATAGTCTAGTCTATAGTCTAGTCTATAGTCTAGTCTATAGTCTAGTCTATAGTCTAGTCTATAGTCTAGTCTATAGTCTAGTCTATAGTCTAGTCTATAGTCTAGTCTATAGTCTAGTCTATAGTCTAGTCTATAGTCTAGTCTATAGTCTAGTCTATAGTCTAGTCTATAGTCTAGTCTATAGTCTAGTCTATAGTCTAGTCTATAGTCTAGTCTATAGTCTAGTCTATAGTCTAGTCTATAGTCTAGTCTATAGTCTAGTCTACAGTCTAGTCTATAGTCTAGTCTACAGTCTAGTCTATAGTCTAGTCTATAGTCTAGTCTATAGTCTAGTCTATAGTCTAGTCTATAGTCTAGTCTATAGTCTAGTCTATAGTCTAGTCTATAGTCTAGTCTATAGTCTAGTCTATAGTATAGTCTATAGTCTAGTCTTTAGCCTAGTCTTTAGTCTAGTCTATAGTCTAGTCTATAGCCTAGTCTATAGTCTAGTATATAGCCTAGTCTATAGTGTAGTCTATAGTCTAGTCTATAGTCTAGTCTATAGTCTAGTCTAGTCTATAGTCTAGTTAGTCTAGTCTACAGTCTAGTCTATATTCTAGTCTATAGTCTAGTCTATAGTCTAGTCTATAGTCTAGTCTATAGTCTAGTCTATAGTCTAGTCTATAGTCTAGTCTATAGTCTAGTCTATAGTCTAGTCTATAGTCTAGTCTATAGTCTAGTCTATAGTCTAGTCTATAGTCTAGTCTATAGTCTAGTGTATAGTCTGGTCTATAGGCTAGCCATTTGGGAACCTAGGTTTTCATTATTTGTTAAATATTATTGTGACAGTCTGAATCAAAAGCAATCTCGTTATGGTTTCATTGATAGTATATTTCTTTCAACCATCTGACTGCCTCTTCATAAAATGCAAACGTTAATTAAAAGGACATATTCTAGGTGCCAATATTTCAAAAATTGTAAAAGCTTATTTTTTGTTTAATGAGTGTAACATTTTCTAAATTTCATTTTCAACACAATTAAAATAATACCCAAATACTTTGTAAAGCCCTGTTAAAAAACATTTCATAAATTGTTGTTTTCCAGCTCTATTTCCTATTTGCAAACATTTAAATAATTACTTTGGCTTTATCTCAATTAAATAACAAAAGTCAATTTAAAATAACGATACTTTTGCCACCCCTTTCTTACTTTCCTGGTTCCTTTTCACTAACTATCGAAGAAATAATGTAAAGGTTACAAAAGGTTCTAATTACACAATTTAAATTAAACAAAAAAAGCAAGAAAACATATTTAAAAAGAAAAAAAAATGTAACAAACTCATTATAAGCCAAGAAAAACTCCCCAAGTTAAGGGAAACGAATGAGCACAAGTATTTGGCCTTTTAAATAATAAATAACGAAACCTTACAAGTGAAGAAGACGATGGTGATGATGATGATAGAGATACGGAAAAAGGAATATAAAGGAATTTAATTTGTATGTTTGTAGGGGGTGTTTGAAAGGTTGTTGTTTAGCAACCTGAGGTTATTTAACCCCCCAAAATAAAATAAAATAATAATCGTCTTTTACACTAGATAAAATGCTTCTTCTTTTTTTATAGGAGTTTTTTTTTAATTTCATTTGGTTTTTTGTTTTAGTATAGTTTTTGGTTTTTTTATTTTCTTACATTTACATGCATTTACAAAATAAGCACTTTCGTTAAAAATACCGCAAAATTTATTTTACGTTTTCTGTTTTTTTTTTGTTTTGTTTCTTTTTTTTCATTTAAAATTCTAAATAGAAATATCCTATACGAACACAAATATACTTTTTTTTTAATAATATATATTATTACTATAATTATCCAAACTAACTGCTTAAAGCTAAAGATGCGATCGACATTACTACAGCGACAGTTGTCCATTTACGTTGTATATTTGTTGCTTTATCTGAAACGATAAGTTAGTTTGGGTTTTAATAAGGGATTTAAAAGGTTTAAAAGATTTTGAATTTTGACTTATTTTTTTTTATCTGGAGCAAAAAAATTTCTATTCTGAGTAAAGTTTTTCAGGCCTTACCTCTACTTACCATAGAAAATAGTTTCCCGTCTTTTAGTATAATTAGTACCAAGTAGGTAAAATGCACATGTTATCGGTGTGGGTGATTCCAATTTATCTCTAGGTATACGCGTTCGAACTGTCATACTATATAGGCCACTGGCATTCTGATCCATTTGTGTTAATACCGAATCCAAAATTTTTGTATCAAATCTGCTAATTATGAAAATAAATTTATAAAAGTTAGTTGATCTTGGTTTGATGAAAATAAATTTATAAAAGTTAGTTGATCTTGGTTTGATGAAAATAAGGTGAATTTTTTAATATTTCGAATTCTAAGGCAATATGTCGGGAATATTCTAAGAGATGCTGTTTCTAAATATGGACTTATGTCTTGATAAATTGATCATTTGTTATTCTATACTATGGTTTACTAGAGACGTGTTTGGTATATCAGAGCATCAATAACCCAAGACCTCGCTCTTTATTCACAGAGAAAATACTGGGGTAAGTCTGGTATACCCTACATCCCACACCATTCAACCCATAACACAACTCTTTTGTCTGACATATTCATTGACAAAATAACATCAGACACATTCAGTCAGGAATATTGGTAGGGTGAGCTCCCTAATTCATTCTGTGTCCCATTCATTTAACAACAATTCATTTCCAAAATTTGGCCCCACATTCATCCTTCTAGGTGAATAATTACACCTGCGTCAATCTTTAAACCAACATTATTTTCCGACGAACCAGAACATGCAACCCCTAAGGGTACCTTTAGAATAACGGACTCAAGACAAAACTCGAAACAATGTCACCCGATAAATTAGGTTTTCTGGTCAGGCCGCGATTCAAATGAATCCACCCGTTAATAGTCCCGAAAGATTGGAGGTACTGCAATAACTCCAAGGGGAGGGGCGTTTCACGAAGGTAACAGGGTCCTGACGGGAAATATTTAAACTTACATTGTGGATCAGTGTTGCCCATCTTCAATACCAAGCAACCCCTATCAACAGGAAATACTTATACATAATTTCTGCCCTCTTCTCTTTTGGGTCCTATCTAGATCGTCTTTGAATCTAAAAAGGTTCCAGAGTACATATACTTTTGTGGATCTCAGCCCAATATTTCAAAAACTCTTGGACCCCTACACTCTACAGAACAATCGAAAACATTAAGAAAACTTCTATCAAAATCTTTGGATTATATCAATCGAGTGGAATCCTCAAATGGTTTAAATCGATAAAAAAGGTTATTCTTATTCTACTTACATAACTGATAGCACAGGCTGGGGAAATACATTTTGAACGGCACACATAACTTCAACATTCTCTCGTGATCCATCCATTTTGGTTTCAAGCAAAAAATCCGATTCAGGAACTGTAAAAGAAGTAAAATATTAAGAAAAACTACTTTTAATTAAACATAAATTCGAAATTTTTTACCAATTATTTGTAGACGACTACTTCGTTTATCAGTCGATTCGAATGTTTGTACGAAACATGTATATTCACCGGTCATATTCCAATCGGGTCGACGTATTGAAATGACACCCGGACTGCCTTCCAAAGTGAAAATTTCGGTGTTTATTTTTGATTTCATAATACCCTGAAAAATGTACAAAAGTTAAAAATATATTGCAATACTAAAATCTATATATTTTGGACCTTTTCATGAATAATAGGTCCCTGAAATAGTTTTCTTTTGATATACTCATTCGAAATTATCCAAAAAAAAGGAAAGAAAATGGATTTTTTGGAATTTTGATCATATCTTTGATATTAATGAGCTGAGTTTATTGAAAAAAAAAAAAAAAAACAAAATTTCGAAAGCATGATCTTAAAGATATCTGGGGTCTTCAGACAATATCCGGACATATATTTAAAGAAAATATCAGATTCATATAGTCCCATTATAAATATTTTTCCCAGCGAACAATTTCTCACAAAGTTGTATCTTATTACAATCGCACTTACCATTGCAAATCCTTTGACCGAGGGTATCCATTGGTATATGGAATGATTGTTAAACAGCCATTTAAGAACAAAACCTTTCTCTCGAGGCCCCAGTTCATATTCACAGTCTAGCACCAGTGGTTCTGGTTCCGTATGACGTTCCAGTGTGTAGATATGAGGCACCTTAAGGTTTGTTATTCGAACTGACTGGGTAACTGTTGGAAAGTGATGAAAACCATAAAAATATATATGTAAGTACTTCATTCCTGCTTATGATCTGGAGTGATATACTTACTTGTTAAAAGTGACAGCCAAGTCAGCAGTGTTAAACAGATGATGTATCGTCTTAACGCCATTGGATACAACAACAATAGTAGTTGTGATGTTATCAATGATGATGGTGATTTCATTAGTTTCTAATCCAAAAGTAAAACTTTGGATTGAAAACGACTTCCTTTGCAAAAACTGCTTTTGTGTATGTACGAACGAATAAGTAATTGTGTATATTTTTGTTGTTGTTATTGGTAGGTAGAGTATTCGTAAGTTTGTTGTTTGTTTGTTGGTTTGGTATGGATTTCGTTTGATTAAGAGGACTAAAGGATTGTTGGAGTTTTCCAAACACCCGTCTCTGCAGCGGGAGTTAAACGTTGCATTGCGATTTTCTCTATCTCTTATACGGCTCGAAAACTTAAAAAACTAAGGACGTAAATTTCGTTGAATCATTTTATGAAAATAAAATTTTAAGTTTTTCTTTTCTTCCTTTTCTCTATATATTTTTTTTTTTTGATTAATTGACTATAAAATTTTTGTCGTTTACTTTAGTTATTTGCTGTTGTTGTTGTTTTTGTCGTCGCTGCTGGCAATAGTGATGTCGTTGGTGATGATGATGATGAAGATAATAGTGGCAATGATGTTGTTTGGAGTGGGGGAGTTTTAAATAAACGACGAGAGTTACTTTCGCTGTATGGTACCCCACTCTTCACCTCTCTCTAATGTATTATTCCGCTATGTACCTATTGTTTTTTCTTCATCTGATTTCCTTTTTTTTTCCTTTTTTTAACTTTCTAAATTTCTTAACTCATTTTGCTGGTATTTGTTTTATTTTATTATTGCTTTTTTACACCTTTAACACTTGCTTTAGCCGTTGTTTTTTATTTATTATCTTTGCCAAATATTTTCTTGAAATTGTAATACTTTTCTTTTCGTTAGTTTTTATTTTATAATTGTAACTCTAATGCGAAAAATCGACTTCTCTGTGTGGGGGGAGACGATATGTGCGAAGTTTTGGAATGTATTTAGTTGTTAATAGAGTTGACATCTTTTACCTGATTGTAATTAGAAGTCAGTTTGTCTCTTTCCGTTTTGGATTGTGGTGGAGTTATTAAAGCGCAGGCCTTGTCAAGCGAAAAGCTTTATTTTGATAAAAGCTCTGTGTTTTAAGCTTTTATAAAAGCTTTAATTACTGTCCTTTCTGTTGAACAGTCTGACGTTAAGAAAAGCGCATGCGTCAAACTTACACCTGTTCAAATGTCAACTGTCAGCAGAAAGTGCTTATTCTTAGTCCTAAAGGATATTTTCTTTCTATGTATTGTAAAAATACATATCTCATAAGTAAATTTTCCTATTTAACATAAAATGAGGAAACTGATCTTTTTTAAATCCTAAATTTCGTATCAAATGTCAATGTACATGAAAATGCAAAAGAGAAAGTTTTCTGTAGGTCATATAATTTAAAGAAATGCATTAATGTCAGAGGTTTTTGTCAGTTATATTCCCTCTCATTCTCTTTAAGATGTTTTAAATTTGGAGTGCATAGAATGGAAACTCTGGTGTCAAGGACCAACTTTTGTTGTCAAAAACAAAAGCACACGTTTTAGAATGTTGTAAAGCTTTTTTCGTGAGCTTTTTTGAGTTCCGAATCTGTGCTGTCAAGAATCTATGTAACACTGTTGTCAAAAACCTTAGTCGTAATGACAACATTTTTGGAAGAAGTTATAGAGCTTTGTTGTAACTGTAGGGCTCTATGTACATATAGGGTTAATATAGATGGGACACAAAATAAAGTTCAAATGTTGAGGGAATAGTTTTGAATCCCTATATTCCTTGACAAACTAACTAACTAACTAACTACCTACCTACCTACCTACCTACCTAACTAACGAAACGAACGAACGAAACGAACGAACGAACGAACGAAAGAACGAACGAACGAACGAACGAACGAACGAACGAACGAACGAACGAACGAAGAACGAACGAACGAACGAACGAAACGAACGAACGAACGAAACGAACGAAGAACGAACGAACGAAACGAACGAACGAACGAACGAACGAACGAACGAACGAACGAACAAAGAACGAACGAACGAACGAACGAAAACGAAGAAACGAACGAACGAACGAACGAAAGAACGAACGAACGAACGAACGAACGAACGAACGAACGAACGAACGAACGAACGAACGAACGAACGAACGAACGAACGAACGAAACGAACGAAGCGAACGAACGAACGAACGAAAACGAACGAACGAACGAACGAACGAACGAACGAACGAACGACGAACGAACAACGAACGAAACGAACGAACGAACGAAACGAACGAACGAACGAACGAACGAACGAACGAACGAAAACGAACGAAGAGAACGAACGAACGAACGAACGAACAAACGAAGAACGAAACGAACGAACGAACGAACGAACGAACGAACGAACGAACGAACGAACGACGAACGAACGAACGAACGAACGAACGAACGAACGAACGAAACGAACGAACGAACGAAGAAACGAACGAACGAACGAAACGAACGAACGAACGAACGAACGCGAACGAACGAACGAAACGAACGAAAACGAACGAAAACAACGCGAACGAAGAACGAACGAACGAACGAACGAAAACGAACGAACGAACGAGCTAGCTATCGAACGAACTAACGAACGAAAAACGAACGAACTAACGAACTAACTAACTAACTACCTACCTAACTAACTAACTAACTAACTAACTAACTATTTAACTAACTAACAAATAAACTAACTAACTAATAAAGCATTTAATTTAATTTTTACCTTAATTCAGGAATATTTTAACAATTTAACAAATTTGACAAAAATGGGAATTTCTAAAAGAAATCGTGACATTAGTGTTTATAAGTGAATTTTGACCTTCAAGCCATTTTCTGAAGGGGACTTTGTATGGGGGGTAGGGTCAAAGGATCATTACGATCAGCTGTATCATTAAGACTTATATAACACTTAGTTTTGCCGATTTTTTAAGTGATACAAGAACATTTAACATATTTAAGAGCTCAGAAGCAGTATTCAGGAATGGACCGATTTTAGCCATTTTTCAATAGGCTTCGTCCTTGGGTCAAAAGAAGAGTAGTGCCAAATTTCATCAAATTAACTTGAAAATTGCGACCTGTAGAGTGCGCTCAAGGTTTACATGGACACTAAAGCGACTCAGAAAGTGATTCTGAGCCGATTTTTATACTTTAAGGTGGGTGTAGAAACACTAGAATCACTAGGGTATAGTAAATATTTTTAGGGTCAAATGAGGCCCGATTATTACGAAAATTGGCGGTGTAATTTAGACTTTTGTAAAACTGTAATTTTGTTGACATTACAGAACATTTTACAAAGTTATGAGTTCTAAAGCCCTATTCGAGGGTATGGATGCTAGGTGAAATAATGGATGGTCTTTGAGTTAAAAAATGTGTATGAAAATTTCCCCAACTTAATAAACAAGTATTAAATATTGTAATTTATTTTATTTTACAGATTTGTTTCTTTTTTTTAATTTTATTTTAATAATAATTTAATAACATAAGACGTTTCTTAACTACTAAAGTGACATTACATACATAAATGTACATAGAATACATAAAATTTAATGGTTTATTTTTAAAAAGTTTCTCTTGTTTTTTTTTTTTCGATTTTGTTTGACAATTAAGAACATTTACAATAATAACGATTTCTTATTTTCATTATTTTATCGTTTTTCCATAAACTGTGTTGCCACAATTGGTCTCGTTAAAAAAAATAATGAAAATTAAAATTACCAGAAGAAAAATAGTGACGTAGTTGTTGCATTATAGTACCGGCCTCTTAAATTACTACATTCATCTATTTACAGAAGAAAAGTGTTTGAAAATACATTTTCAATCACGTGCCGCATTGGCAGACGTCGCGGTATCTCCATTTCCTATTAATGTTTCGATACGAAAGTCTCTTGTACTACTGTGCTTAGTGGAACGAGCATGTTCATAGTCAAAAGGTAGTAGGGTGGTGCTTTTAAATTGTTCCGCATCTTTAATATTTTGAGGCGGGGATAAAAGACGCGTTTTCGTTAGCTCATGATCATTTTTAGTTGGACGGGCATTTGTTTTGACATTTAACGAGTTGGTTAGTGAGTCATAATTGTTAAAAAGTAATATACATGAGGAAGCATCTTTAAGATTTTGTTTGATATCCGTTTTATGACTTAAATCTTCCGTTTCACCTTGTACATCTAAACGTGTTGTACTGAGACTTTCTATGGAGTCGGAAATATGAGAATCTTGTTCATCAGGACTTTCTATATCGATGCGATCATCATCAGAGTCTTCAGAATCTTGTGAACTGTGGGTTCTTTCGTATTGTTGCTGTTGTAGATGTGTGCTATTAAAACCATTTTCATCAGTACTTGGTGGCATTGCTCCAAAAGCATACAGTTTCATTTTATCCAGTTCACTTGTTCCATTCAAATTTAACACTCCACTCTGCATACGTTCTGCTGCCATCGCAGAACTTTGAGTGAAAGCCTCAAATTTATCATTGTTATTGGGATACATTGATAGATCAGTATTGGCGAAAAAGTTAAATTTCTTTTCTGCTCCCCTTAAAGTGTTCGTATCAAAAACATCAGTCACCGGTGCATGCAACATATCGAAACACTCACGATTACTGCCAAAGTTGGGAACATTGAAATGTACCGGCACTAATGGTACAGGTTTACGTATCCAAAACGGTGATAACGTTCCAAACACACTAGTAAATGGAAATCTTTGTATGGCCGGTGCTCTTTTATAGCGTTTTCGCCGTCGCAAGAAACTGCCGTTGTCAAACATGTCTTCGGCCAGCGGGTCGAGAGTCCAAAAATTACCCTTGCCAGGATTACCGGGCTCTCGAGGAACCTTAATAAAGCAGTCGTTTAGGCTGAGGTTATGACGTATGGAATTTTGCCACGCTGGAAATTTGTCTTTGTAATAGGCGAATCTGTAAGAGAAGAATAAAGTTATGATTAGAAATCTTTTTGTCTAAAAATCGATTTATTTCGTTTTATATGAAAAACTAAATCAGTAAACAATAACATTTAAGGAAGTAAAAAGTATTAGAGCATTACATTTTAAGGCGATGGCTTGCTTGACCGAACGTTTGTCTTCTTAAAATGCGATACGAGGAGCTAAAGAGAATTTTCTACAAGTATTCCTTATTGATGAGTTTATGAACCAAAATAGGTCAATCAATCCGACAGTGAAATTATTTTTTTATTTAATCGAGCGAAATGAAAATCTGTGGTTGGCCACATAGTCAAATTAAACTATTTTTTTTTTGTAGTCTGGCAACTTTAAAACCATGTAAAAAGCTAACGGAATATAAAGAGATTATCGCGATAGATTTTATTTCAGTGATTTCCCTATTTATTTATGAATTGCATGAGTCCAAAAAATAAAAGTAATTGGTATTTACAATAAATTAACGTGATTCAGTAGTGTATAAATCGTGTGTGAAATAAAAAGTGAGTATGAAAAATGTGAAATGATGAATCAAGGCAAAAAATGCAGGGAATTTGAAGAAATGCTATCGAACTACGATCAAATGATTGCAAATGCCTAGAAATACGAGACTCGCAGTCGGAAGCGAAAAATATCAAGTTTAAATGACCGCCGGATAGATTCCTTAGTAAAATTTACCCTTTTTAAACTTCCTGTAAGTGTTGTAACTATTCGTAGGCGATTGCAGGAGAACAAACTATTTGCTTGAGATCCGCAAAAAAGTATACTTACTAGCAGCGGCAAGATTGCAATAAATCCCCGAACACAACAAGTGGTCAAAGGGAAAATTGAGAAATGTTTTGTGGACTGAAAAAAAGGAAAATTACATTGTTTGCTGGAACGGGATCCAGGCACTAAATTCGAAGTTCCTCGAAAACCAAATTTCCATACAACGGTTTGAGACCAAAAAGTGTACATGAACATATTGGATTATGGTAGAATATGCAGAGTGTAATTTGCCACTTAAATGGGTCTTTTAACAAGATAATGACCTGTAAAACATATGCAAATTGGTAAAGGAGGGATTTCGGATCAATACCGTTGAGTTTATCAAGATCAATAAAACATATGGATGGGGGATGTTTTAATATATGTTGCGGAACGAAATCCGTAAAATACAGAAAAATTGGTAAAATCGAATTCTCTTAAAGCGATGTCAGAATTTAAACGACTCTATGCCGCGCATTGAAAATACATGCTATGCTACCAAATCTTCATCGTATTTAAAGTTTTGGGATAATATCCATAAGCTTTTTTATTTAAATTTGTAATATACCCCAGGAAAACTAAACAAAAAAATAAGCAATTTGGGGAATTTCAGCTTCCCCTTAGGAATTAAAAGTCACCAATTGAAAAAATAATGTGACTATTGTTCAAAAACAACTAATGTTATGCGAAAATATTCCTCAACTAAAATGTAGGAAATTCAATTCTATATAGAAATTATAATAACATCAAAACGCGTACGATGCATAATAAGCGGGATATTCACACAAAACAGATTTTTGTAACCTTTGACCTCCAATATCTCGCTTAGCGTACAAGATTTTTCGGTGACTTTTAATCTCTTACTAATTATGCTAACGAGAAGCTACTATGTGCCAATTTTCATTTAGCTATCTAAAATTCCGCAGCAAAACCTTTATTTTCCTGGACTAATAGTAAATATTAATACTAAAATACTGCTATTATTTTGAACATAAATGTTTATTTTTTTTACATTCTTGTTGAAAATTACACAGGCCGACGATGAAAAAGTTTTTGAAATAATTTTTACTAATTCCAGTGTTATTTGCTGTGCTTATTCCGAAAATGGAAATAAGTTATATCGCCCTTCAATTTTTCACATTTTAATCTTTTAGTCCCCGTGATTGAATGCTTGTATCCCAAATATTATATTCAGTAATTATATAGAAGTTGCCTCTAGAATTATACTCTAAGTTATAAAAATGCCTAATGGGAAAATTCGGGGCGATAGGACCACTCTAATTGGTGCTGCTTTCTAACGAAAATTAATTCTAAACTTACGAAATTTCCATGAATCGCACTTTAATTCAATCTGCTTAAAAATCTTAGGATGTTTTAATATAAGCGCCGCCGCTATATCAGTCATATGTATCTTACAGAGAAATATCGAAATCAAACTATGAAAACTATTGTATACAATGGTATACAACCGATTTGTATTAAGAACTTATGAAACGGAGCGATACTAAATCCAAACGTTGTGTGCCTCCGGTGGGGTTAGTAGTGTTCTAGTCTGTTAGACCGGTGGTCGTAGGTTCGACTCCTACCAGAAACACTGGCAAAAGAGCACACAACCCGATGTAGGCATAGGTGTATTTCTTCGGATTTGATTTTACATTCATCCTCCTTTCAAACTAAATCAAAACTTTTATAAAATTATAATTTTCGATCTCAAATTTTTCTGACATCTAAGAGTTTTTGATAATTGAAAATGTTTTAATTATTTCATCAACAATAGACCTTTCGTCCAAAAACACATAAAAAGTGAAAGGATCGAACGAGAGACTTGAAAAGAATTTGTTCAAAAATTGTTTGAACCGGTAAAATCAGTATAGCGTCGGTACTTTTTCTAATAAGATAAATGTGGACTTATATATAATCAAAAAAATTTAATCATTTAATTTTCTTACCTTGACATTATAAAATCACATATTCCGCTTAAAGTTAATTTCTTTTGTGGTGATTGCAAAATGGCCATTGTGATAAGAGCAATATATGAATAAGGAGGTTTTACTAGGGGCGAATTAACTTTATCGGCATCTTCATTGGCCGACGCTATTTCTTCCTGAATTGTTGGATGATGATGTTGCTGCTGCTGTTGTTGATTATTGGTAGTGGAATGATTTAAACTAGGAGCATTACGCCGTTTCAAATGGGGAGGTGGTGATAGGGAAACATTTGTCAAATGAGGGGCACAGCCCGTTACATTGACAACAGCTAAATCCGTAGAAGTATGCATAACCGTGGGTATAATGGAATTTGTATGTAATTAAATACAACCTTTGGAAAACCCAATGCAGAGAAGATTGTTTTTTTTTTTGGGAAATTTGATTGTAAACTTAGAAAGTTTTTTTTTTTTTTGTTAAAAAAAATAATTTATTATTTTTTAGGAACTTTTTGTTTTTTTTTTTCTTTTATTATTTACTTTTGTGGTTTAATATTATAATTCATTTGCATTTCTTTTTTTTTAATTTTTAGGAATTTTATAACATAAATAATGTTTTATTTGTTAAAAATTTATTATTGTTTTTCAAATACTTTAGATTTAGAATATTTGTTTTAACACTTAAAATCACTTTGCACTGCATTTAAAATATTTTCAATTTAAATTTTTTATGTCTTGATGTCATTTATGCCTTGTAACTAGCTCTAACAAATTTGCATTACATCCGTTTTGATTTAACTTGCAAGTAAAAATTTAATAATTTTGAACGGAACGCGCCAAAATAACAACTCGACATGTCCTGCGCTACGTTCGTTTTTGTCTGAGAATGACGGAATTCTTTTTACAAATGTCTATCTAATCGAATAGACAATTCTGAAAGTGTGCTCTGCCTTCCCGGCTGGCTGTTTGGCTGGATGGCTGACTGACAGGCTGGCTGGTTGGTTACTCGGGTTGCTGCTGCACCCAAAACAAACAAAGCAATAAACTTTGTTAGGAAAGAGGCAGAGGCTCGAAGTTCCTGTGAGTGAATGAGTGAGTGTGTGCGTTTGAATTTTATATTTTTTTATTCCATCATGATGTGATAAAAGCATCAAAGCGAAATCTCTTTCTCTCTCTCCCTGCCGACAACAACGGAACGGAAAAAAACAAACTGTTTTTCTACACAACTCAAACATTTATTTATCCGTAACCGCTGTCGTTTTCATCGCATTTGTCGTTGTTATGTTGTTGTTTTATGCCAAAATAACATTGAGCTGTGATGCAGCGGCCACTGCCCTGCTCTTCGTCCTCATAAACTTGCTACAATCTGATATGATGCTAGACGTTGTAAATAACAGAGAGAGATGGATGTATTCAATTGGATGTTATGGGTATGAAAGGGATGCAAATATCATTGGGTTATATTGGCAGAGGAAGTGTGAGTGGGTGCTTAATTTCCTAAAGGGATGAATGTAACTGAGATTGTTGTATCACAAATAAAAACAAACAAAGGATGTGTTCGAGAAAATGTTAAGCGGATGTTTGTGTGTATTAATATGTGTATGAGTGTGTCTGTGTATGTCTAAATGTGGAGCGTATGGCAGTCAGTCATCCTTCTTTGTATGTATCATTTTGTTGAAACAACAACATAAAATGGCGTAATCCCAATTAATTTTAATACATACAAAACTTAAGTGACATGATCCAATAAAAAACTTTTTGTTTTAATTGCAGATAGATAGATAGATAGATAGATAGATAGATAGATAGATAGATAGATAGATAGATAGATAGATAGATGATAGATAGATAGATAGATAGATAGATAGATAGATAGATAGATAGATAGATAGATAGATAGAGATAGATAGATAGATAGATGATAGATAGATAGATAGATAGAGATAGTAGATAGATAGATAGTAGATAGATAGATATAGATAGATAGATAGATAGATAGAAGATAGATAGATAGATAGATAGATAGATATAGATAGATAGAGATAGATAGATAGATAGATAGATAGATAGATAGATAGATAGATAGATAGATAGATAGATAGATAGATAGATAGATAGATAGATGATAGATAGATAGATAGATAGATAGATAGATAGATAGATAGATAGATAGATAGATAGATATGATAGATAGATAGATAGAGAGATAGATAGATAAGATAGATAGAAGATAGATAGAGATAGATAGATAGATAGATAGATAGATAGATAGATAGATAGATAGATAGATAGATAGTAGATAGATAGATAGATAGATAGATAGATAGATAGATCGATAGATAGATAGATAGATAGATAGATAGATAGATAGATAGATAGATAGATAGATAGATAGATAGATAGATAGATAGATAGATGATAGATAGATAGATAGATAGATAGATAGATAGATAGATAGATAGATAGATAGAAGATAGATAGATAGATAAGATAGATACATAGATAGATAGATAGATAAGATAGATAGATAGATAGATAGATAATAGATAGATAGATAGTAGATAGATAGATAGATAGATAGATAGATAGATAGATAGATAGATAGATAGATAAGATAGATAGATAGATAGATAGATAGATAGACTAGATAGATAGATAGATAGATAGATAGATAGATAGATAGATAGATAGATAGATAGATAGATAGATAGATAGATAGATAGATAGATAGATAGATAGATAGATAGTAGATAGATAGATAGTAGATAGATAGATAGATAGATAGATAGATAGATAGATAGATAGATAGATAGATAGATAGATAGATAGATAGATAGATAGATAGATAGATAGATAGATAGATAGATAGATAGATAGATAGATAGATAGATAGATAGATAGATAGATAGATAGATAGATAGATAGATAGATAGATAGATAGATAGATAGATAGATAGATAGATAGATAGATAGATAGATAGATAGATAGATAGATAGATAGATAGATAGATAGATAGATAGATAGATAGATAGATAGATAGATAGATAGATAGATAGATAGATAGATAGATAGATAGATAGATAGATAGATAGATAGATAGATAGATAGATAGATAGATAGATAGATAGATAGATAGATAGATAGATAGATAGATAGATAGATAGATAGATAGATAGATAGATAGATAGATAGATAGATAGATAGATAGATAGATAGATAGATAGATAGATAGATAGATAGATAGATAGATAGATAGATAGATAGATAGATAGATAGATAGATAGATAGATAGATAGATAGATAGATAGATAGATAGATAGATAGATAGATAGATAGATAGATAGATAGATAGATAGATAGATAGATAGATAGATAGATAGATAGATAGATAGATAGATAGATAGATAGATAGATAGAGATAGATAGATAGATAGATAAATAAATAAATCGATATATAAATAGATAGATGGATAAATAGCTTAATAAATATTTTTGAAATTTAAAATATAATGAAAATGCTTACTGGGTTCTTATTGCTGTATAATGGGTCTTATTCTACTGATACCTACAACTACCATTGAATAGGTACAACTCAGCTAGGGAGAAGCAGGAGGTTTAATTTACACACACACATGTACATACATACTTTGGAAAAAAGTATTTTCAAGTGAGCTAATGGAAAGAGTGGATGAATAAATGAATGAATGGGTTCCTCTTAAGCTAGTTGCTGTTGTTTTATTATACTTTTAACTTTTTTTCTGTTTTTCTTTTATTTTTCTTGTTTGATATTCAGTTTGTGTGCTTTTTTTTTGCTCTCTTGTTGATTTTTTTTATGTGTAGATACCTTTATAACTTTGATGTGCCTTTTAATAATAATATTTTATTATGTCACACAAATACACAAACACTCACATACTTACGTACATATAAAATCATACTGCAGCCACTAAATACACATACTAGAGTAGTACAATATGGCAACCATATCTAAATTAGACGGCTTCAAAAATTTCTAATAGTATTGCTACTTTTTATTAAAAAATCGACTTTACATCAGTTTTAAGTAAAGGATTTTCGGGAACATATCTCTATGTGGGTCTGATTTAATCAAGGACTAATCTTCATATAATTTGGCAGAGTTTTATCAAATTATTTAATTGCTATATGAAGAAAGTGTGATATTTAAAAGAGGGTTTAAATGGAATCAGGATTTCATTAGCTTTTAAAATGTTATCTTTTGGAATCTGTCTAATAACAGTAAATATGTATACATTTATATAATCTTAAGTTATGTAGTTGTCGGTTGGCAATGTTTGTCAGGATATATGTAAGTACTACAAATACATTCATACATACATATGTATGTATGTGATTTGTGTGTGCAAATTTATCTACTATGTGTGAGTATTTTATATAAATTTTTTATTCCATTATATTTTTATTGTTGTTGTTCTTGTTCTTGTAGTATATCGAGTGTTGAGTTCAGTTATAAATGCACAAGTTTGCATTTTTATGTGCGAAAGTTTTTTTAACCATAAGTTTATTTTCATTCTTTCTTTCTGGTGTTTTTTTCTATGTGAATTTTTATTTTAAATATTTTTTTACAGTTCAATCTGTCATATATTATATACATACATAAGTAAATACATGTGTACTATGTACATAACAAAGTTAACGTTTTAAAATCCTATTTGTTTGTATGCGTTAATATACAAATATATGAATCCTGATTCCTTTTTTCCATTTTTTGTTTTCTTGTATAAATGAAAATAATGTCAATATTAAGATAAGCATTTTTCAGTGATTATATTTTGTGTTTAATCGAATAAATACTAAATAAATGTGTGTATAATTTAAAATAATATTTTTGTAGAAATGAATTTAATTAATTTTGCAAAAATTTAATAATATCCTTTTCTTCTAAGTATTTGTTTTAATTTTCTCAACAAATTAATTACACTTATAAAATTGTACAGAAATCATCAACTATAGGAACAGATTATTATTACATATGTAATTAGTAGGTAGATAGATAGATAGATAGATAGATAGATAGATAGATAGATAGATAGATAGATAGATAGATAGATAGATAGATAGATAGATAGACAGATAGATAGATAGATAGATAGATAGATAGATAGATAGATAGATAGATAGATAGATAGATAGTTAGTTAGTTAGTAGTTAGTTAGTTAGTTAGTTAGTTAGTTAGTTAGTTAGTTAGTTAGTTAGTTAGTTAGTTAGTTAGTTAGTTAGTTAGTTAGTTAGTTAGTTAGTTAGTTAGTTAGTTAGTTAGTTAGTTAGTTAGTTAGTTAGTTAGTTAGTTAGTTAGTTAGTTAGTTAGTTAGTTAGTTAGTTAGTTAGTTAGTTAGTT